AATTCTCTGGACAAATGGTGGCAGTATAACGTTAACGAGGTTTTACTGTAAAACTACTATCACAGATAAAACTACTTTGTGCTTCTTCGGTCCACCATGAACTTAATTTTATATCGACATCTTTTATTGTTCTTTTCTTCAAGTAACAAATAATTTGAATAGGTTTAGAATATCAAGGGAGATAACTGTTACTAATGTTTGAGATTTTACCGCATCACTGGAAATTTACCCTCATATTCCTTAGCTGTTACAATATTCATTTTTAACAATTTTATATGCCAATTTTATAACAAATAACACTATCTATAAATTATAAACGGTGAAAATATTTCGGCCCTGCCATGCCTTAATTGTCTCAATCTTTTGCTGACGGGAGATTAACCGTCTTGTAGGCCTAATAAACAGATTTTTGACTTCTTGACGAATATTAGTTTCTCGTGGGTTAAATTGTCACGTGTTTTCACATGTAAAATATCTAAATAATCTATCCCACTCGTGAAATATACTTATTTATTAATAATCAAAAAGTATCCGATCTAGTAGACGTCTTTATATACAATGCTACACACTATATTGTTTGTCTTGGTTACCATGGATCAGAGCTGGAGACATCACGTTAGTGCAGGCAAAGATTTGACTGAAATGCCTATAAATAAACATTGTTGTAAACACGCCTGAATGACGTCACGCAGCAACATTTGTGACGTCATCAGGCCTTCCGTGGTTTTGCTCAAAGGGGCAGGCAGTTTCGTCACCTTTAAACATTTTACTAATTTACAAGTAACCTAAGTGTTTAGATGTAAACTTTTGTATGTGTATGTCATACGAGACGTACTGATACGAACAGCTCCAAATGTGTGTGTGTAACAAAGTTAAACATTGAAATACCTGGCTTTTCTTAGTTGTAATAATTAATTGTCGGTAACTTGAAGATACTGATTAATGCTGTTTGAGAAAGATGGCTGGTAACCGGCTAAGATGATATTAATTTACATGATACGCAATAAAGACTCAGTCCTGCACAAATATAAACTTCCAAATCGCTGCCCCGAATCATATTTTCATCGGGTCCGGATGAGAGGGTCCAGGGCTTTCAACGATCGCAACGCATTGCATGAAAACGGAAAATGAATTATCAAATCTTTCCGAGTGTCATTTCCATAAACAAGCATTGGCTCTTCAGTACATTGTATGTACCAAAAGTGCACTTGTAGAAAAACAATTTACTTGCATTGACGGCTCAGTCGACCATTTACTGCAATTAGCGTTAAGATATGGGTTTTGTCAATGTGTATGTAATTTAAACTCAATAACTACCAACGGGCCTCAGATTAATGAGTTTAGTTGACGAGATGTCCGTCGCATAAACCAGAGACGTATATAACTATGTGTGTTATATATATACGTCTCTGCACAAACCAAATTTTTAAGATTCGCTGTGTCACAAGATATTTCATAACTGTTTCGATTAATAATATAACCTTTTCCTTCTTATACCTCTTCCTGTCAAAATCTTTGAAGGCTTTAACTGTGTTGAAGACTATGGTGACGTCATTTACGTCACATCTTATGTATTATGACGTCACAGGGTGGCGAGTTTGGGTGCATGGCGAATTTGCCTGCACTAACGTGATATAAGTACCTGGCGTAATTAGATTAGATTATCTAAGTCCGTAGCTAGACTCACTATATAGTATCCAGGGGCGGGTCCAGGTGAGGGCGTAATGGGCGTACGCCCCCCTCCCCCCCCCCCTTTTCTCCCAAAAAACCCAACACTATCGTAATCTGCTAATATTGTATTGAATTTATCATATTCATTAATTAAACACATACTCTGATTTCTTTTTATACTGATTCCCCCACCCGATGGGTGATCCGTAAAATTTCGTTTCTCCGCCGTATTCGACTCTGCGATTATATCCATTGTTGTTAACCATTGTTGTTTAGCAAAAAAAAAGGTCCAAAAATGTTTTCGCCTAGCTCCGCTCGACTAAAGATTTCATTCTACGCCCCCTCTTTCAAATATCCTAGAAACGCCCTTGGTATTGGCATGGATTTAGACCCAAAACTTCATTAAATACACTTGATCTACTTTGCCTTAAAACAATTACCACTTCTAACTCCTAACGAACTTGTATATATTTATAACTATGATTACGTTTGGAAGGAAAACACGAGGTGAGCGATTTGAAAATGGCTGTGAAATGTGGAAATACAAGTAGGCTAACTCAAAACAAAAATCAATGTTTTACTTTATAATTTAACTGTTATAATTTAACTGTATATTCGACAAAGCTCAATATCGATCAGTTATACAATGAGCATATTATTAATTATACACAACATGTACATACTAAAATATACGATTAATTATAATCCGGGTTTCAATTAAAAGAAAATCAGCATATTCAATTATTATTTTTTCCTTCACACATATTAATTGACACTATAAATAGTTATACAGCCTACTAGGCCCTCTCTCATTAAATTAGATAGTCAAGGAACCAGGGGCGTAACAAACGGGTTTTCAATGTGTAAGCCCATTGGTGAAGTATGCTGCCGAAGGCAGCACCCCGAAGCGCGTAGCGCGAGGAGGGGGAGGGTATGGGATGGGGTTTTCCCCCTCCCATTGGTGAGGGGATGGGGGTCTCCCCCAGGAGAATTTTGTTTTCTAGAACACATGAGACGCGTTCTCCCTTGTTCTGGCGTCAGTTTTAATGGCCATTTTAAAGCAAGAAAATATCGTTTTCCCCTATTATTTTATAAATATTTTGCTTCTTTTTGGGTACGTAGGGATTGGTACTCATCTACGCCAATTCTATTATGCAGTTCGGTAACATTATTCCACGGAAAAGAAAAATCTAAAATCATGTGGATTTTGGGATAGTTGTTGTATAAGAGTGTGACGTTTCTATGACTCCGGTTGCGCAGAGATAGTTTAAACATATTTTATTGCCAAAATAGTGACAACAGGATTGGGCACAAGTTATTACAACATTATTTACGCCTACAACATTATTTATGCGCAGGGATATGAGACTAGTATCACAAGCTAGCACTAGGAATAGTTTAANGGGGCTAGTGAGTACTATGTGTATACCAATAATTTGCATAGCTAGAGTTGCACTGACAAGGTTACCATGTCAAATGATTGAAGCCAGGCTACCAACCATATTGTTCCCTTTATATGTATAAAAGCGGTAAAAAATCCCCCACCTTAGCAGCACTTTATTTCACGGGGAAAACTAGAGTTAGTGTTTGGGTACACCGATAATTAGCAAGGCTATAGAGTTTCACTGGCGCGATTACCATGCCGAATGAATATGCTACCCTCAGTTCTACATTTGTTAGAGACTTTGATTGCAACGAAGTATTTTAGTTGGCGGTCTTTATAGCAGATACAAAACATATCTGTCATTGCTTTTTAATATTTTATATCATATATAGTCTATGTTGGGTTTATATTTTTTTCATTTTGTCAAAAATGATGTGTAAGACCGGGCTTTTTTTACTACATATGTTGTTACGCGCCTGGGAATCGTACGTATTTGATACTTTCTTTGTAAAACAGAAATAGAAACAACGAAGGCCTATACAGCATATCTTACCATGTAATAGGTCTCTGAACAACCGAATACAATGCATTTCTTACGGGATCTTATTGAGAAAGTACAAATCTGTTTTATCATTAATTAACACTTATCATAAGGCATCGTAAACACGAGAAGTTCTATCGACATGTAGACCCTGGTCAAAATATAAAAAGTATTGATTCTAACCACGGAATTAGATTCCGTGTTCTAACAAAATAAATTACTGATTGCTAGGCTAGATCCTATATATAGCTTCATTCGCATTGTGTATGAACTAAGTTACACCGGGGTTGTTTTCATTGTCTGCTTAGAGGCAATGCTTTTGTAATCCGAATCTTGTTTACTCGTTTTTAATAAATTCAGCCAGTTTCGAGAAACTCACCAAAACTGAAAGCACATACTCTCCCCTTCAGTCACGTGTGCAATGAAAACAAAAATGGCGGACCGTAGTGTCGTGCCGAGAATCTTGCAGCATATACAGAGACAGAAATCCCAAACATGCAAGACTACAGACATCCTAAATGCAGTTAGAGGCACGAAAAAGGCGTTAAACGTGGAACTATATAGACTACAGAGACAGGGAGTAATAAGAAAGATACAAAATAGTCCGCCAGTTTGGCAACTGCAAGATGCTAGATTCTCGCACCCTGCAGTCGCCCCAGCATTGACGCCAAGAAGTCGTCAGCATGAGGGTGTTTTCAGAGGAAGAGGAAGAGGTAGAGGCCGAGGACGAGGCCGAGGCCGAGGAAGAGGAGGGGGTATTACTCGTGGACTTAAACGTGGATTTAACTCTCAAAATAGAAAAGTATTAATTTTAAAAATGTATTTATACCCTCTGTCGTCATATCTTACGAAATACCTGGAAACTCCTAGTTTCGGTTTCGATTTTCTTTTTTTTCTTTTTTTATTATGTCGCCTTTGCAGTGTGAAAATTACCTTCCTGGTTTTCAATAAATAGGCCTATAGAATAATAATAGGATTGATACACCTTAAATGTCATGTCTTCTGGAAACTTGAAATATTATTTTTGGTGAGAAATATCTATTTTAAGAATTGCACACCTGAGCATAAAAGGTATAATGTAAATTTCAGTGTCTTGGTGATATTTTGTCATTGACAGAAATTAAGTTGGTATAGAATGGTAAGATTGTTGCATTGATATATCTCAATATATTTATCTTCTTCATAATCTTTTACTCATATATCATATATATATTTTTTTACAGTTTTTAAAGAAATCTTATTATGACTAGAATACTTTTCATCTCTTTATGCTGCAAGTGCCTATACACATTCACACTATAAATATGAAAAAAGAAGGTGAACGAAATTCAATGACATACAATTTAGAGTGAGATAGTAAAGTTTTGGTTTTGTTTTGGTCACAATGTTTCTGCTCTATTACAGTCATTCAAGGCCAATAGAGGAGTGGACCCCGAGACAGTTGGAGCTATTCAGGCGTTTCTACACACACAAGGAACAGCCGTCAAGGCAGTTGATATTGCCAAGTCACTTGGACTGGCCACATCATCTGAAATTAATCCCATATTATACTGGATGTCTGACAATGGACAGATCGCTCAGGTATCTGAACAGCCAGTCTTGTGGATCGCCCAACAGCTTAACAGCGGCCCAGCTAATGTTGGAGACATTGGTTGTCAACCTACATTCCTCCGATCTGAAGAAGAAATGTTCACAGATATTGGCGATGTTCATTTGAAACTTGAGGAACCATCTTTGCAGGATAAAAATGAGATGTCCGGACAATTTCTTGGGGCTAGTCACCAGAATCTACAACTGTCCCCTAACCATTATGATATACCCTCTGCTCTGGGTAATGACAGAAGCCAAACAGGCAGTACTGCTTTCTGTGATACCCTTATGAATGTGAAAGAGGAGCCCAATGACGGTGAGAGTGATATGATAATAAATAGTTCAAGTGAAGAAAATCTTTTTTCTAAGAATTTTGATGAAACTGTACCATCTGATATATCAGATGATGTTTGTGGACAGACAAGTAGCCAGGATACCACAGCGATTAACAAGAATACTTTTCAGGGTGGTGCAGAGGAGTTGAAACCTCAGCCCAAAGCAGTTTTCTCTGACGTAGACAAATTATTACAATCACTGCTAGGATGCCCAATGAATATGGCAAAATTATTTGTGTTAGTACATAGAATGAAAATATCACAAGAAAATGTCATGGAAATAATCCAAGAGGCCAGAAAATCTAAGTATGTGAGTGACCAGGACGGTGTTTATGTGTTAGATAAAAAAGGTGAGGAGTACATTCGTGGTAAATTAATTACCTGTGGAGACGAGGGGCAAGTTCAGATCGGCTCAACTAGACCAAACCTACAGCCATTGCAGGCCAGGGTGCAGTCTTCAGGTAAACCGCCCAATCCGTACGAGATCTTGGGTCGAACGACTCGCCCCTCCCTTGGTATGCTTGCCAATCGCATGCCTCTCAGTGTTCACGCAGGTGTGGGAGTGACCCCTCGTATGCCAAGGTTCCCAGTCAGGTGTACATTTAGTAATCCTGTGTCAGCCGGATCAACTCAGCCGGCGCAAGGCATACAAACAGACTCATTGATATCACGACTGATGAAAATATCGCAGTCTGAACCGTCACAACTGGGATCATCCTTATCGTCATTACCACAGTCGGCTCATCAGTCATCTTCATCACCACATTCATCGTATCGGGCATCACCTTCATCACATTCATCACATTCATCATCTGAAGCCTCCTTCCAGCAATTCGGTGGTCAGTCAGCATCGGGACTTTTGAGGCAGCCTAACCCTACAAGTTTGCCCGAGAGCTTCAGACCTCCGCAACCTCCAATAGAGATTGTTCGTCAACAACTCAAGCAAACTGACATTTCATCAATGAGTGATGCATCTTCTCCAATAAATACTGGTCTCGCTAGTGCGGGTATGCAAAGACTTTTAATTTCTGGTTCTCACAGTCCTAAAGCACCTCCACCATTCCTAGGGAGGGGAGGTAACTCTAATCAAGAGACATTCTTCCCCCAACAACCACATTCCTTACCAGTGATGGAAAGAACTGTAAGCGCCGATTTTCCCTCGCTGTCGGCGCCAAAGAGCCTCAATCTTGACTTCTCCACAGAGAGTTTTGCAGCCCTGAACAAAAACCCAGTCAGTGCTCTGATGGAGTACGCACAGTCGAGGCACAAAGTTGCCAGGATAGAGGTTATCCGTCAGTCCGGACCCTCTCATCGTCCAAAGTAGGTCACTGCATGCATGATTATATTAAATACATAATATGGTGGCCAACTGCTTCATATTTTTACATATAAATAATAAATAAATAAATAAATATACAACATTTGATATAGCACCCTATCTAGCTAACATAAGCCACTCTAAAGCGCTTTACAGTACATAGATACACAATTTTATACAGTCAATACAATTAGCATATATATTAATCAATACAATGTCATCAATTCCATGGAACTACCACCACCTTACTTATTGTATAGTACGGCACAAAAACTAATGCTATACCTGCAAATATTATGTCTATAGAATCATATGTTCCTAGGTAGCTAGTAGCATCTACTTTTGATAGAATAGTTTTAATTTTGACGTGATAATATTGTAATGAGTGTAAGGCTGATGATAGAAAATATTCGAAGTATAGAATAAAAACTTAATAATTGATGCAAATTGAAATGCTGATCAATGAGTTTGGTTTGGCAATGTTTGGAAAACTTTGAGTATAGCATTTTGATATAAAAAAAAATGCTTTGAACTAGCATAATTCATTGTTTAAACTGGTACATTTATTTTACAAGTCAAGTGCAACAAGAAAAGCACAAATTATTCTAAAGTTGGCCTAATAAACTGATTTTAATTTATTGGTTTTGTGCTGCTTATGATTGGTAATGAAAATAGAATCAATTTCCATTACTAAAATTTATATTTTTTTCCAATTTATGACATAGATTGATTTTTTTCATTAAATCAAACTTCTTGTGCTCTTCATAATTTGGAAGATGCGGTGCAGCGTAATTTTAATATGTGTATCCTTAATCATGTCATCATATATATAAAAATATGTTACGGTTAGTTTAGTACATTGTACAGTGTTTGTATACGTACCGACCACATCATCACATGTTCACCAGCTGAGAAAATTTTACCTGTGATTAGGTTTCTGATGGGCGTGTTCATTGGTAACGAGCAGCTGTCAACAGTGACGTGTACCAACAAGAAAGACGGCCGGAAAGAGGCGGCAGATATGGCTCTCCGAGCTCTTATATCGGAAGGAAAGTACAACACGGACAAAATTCCTGTGAGTATAAATCTTAATAAATCCTACAAGACTGTTTCAAGTTTACAGAAAGTTACGTTCATCTGGTGTATGTTCAGAAATCGACTGCATCAATCGGTTCCATTTCAGGGCTCACATTAACGTTCATGCCAGGTCGCCAGGTCCCCAGATGGCGACACTTTCGATGCTTTGCGATTGTCGGCTATAATCTTCTCGAAGAAATTCATTATTGTTTCAAGTACAGTCATGAATATCAGTATTTCATATTTTTGCTCAATTCAGTGCTCGACCCCTACTGGGGCTATTTCTAGAATTGAGACAATTTAACCGGAATGCATGCATGATTGCAGAGGATTTACACTGTCATATAAGGTGAAATTTCTGTTTCTCAGCTTGCCTGAACAAAGCTTTGATTTGATCATGCTTCTAAATCACCCACCTTTATCTTTTGTAATGTATTGTTGTATAATTTTTTTTTTTTTTAATGCAGACAAAGAATGTCGTCCCTGCGTCACAGATGACCCACTTTGACCGTGTGGCTGCTATTACTCACCAGCATTTCAATTCCCTCGTGGCCACCATTGCCGACAATTTTGCGGGCCGCAAGGTCATCGCAGGCCTGGTGATGAAGACATCGGAGGCTGACCTGGGCACCGTCATATCTATAGGGACAGGTATGTATTGTCTAATTAGACCATTATATATTGTAAACTTCTGTTACTTTTAGCGTGTAGTTAAAATTTAAACAAACTCTCACAGGTGTAATTTTGGCACTAAGTACATTCTTTTAACACTTTCACCGCTATGTAACTTTTATAGACTACCATGTATTGATCTGGATGAGTTCATAATGGTCTACAGTTGTGAAAGGGTTAAAAACAGATTAGATATATGCATTTGGATGGGCAAGAATAGTTTAAAATTGAAAGTGTTGTCACTGTTGAATATTTATTGTAATTTTTTGCGTACTGTATTTTAGTCCAGTGTTGAAGATCAGAAAATATCCTGTACTTATACTACCTAAACTTTAACTTCAATAAAAACAGGTGTGTTTTCTTCTGTTAGACTGTTCACCACTGACTTAATAATGCCATATCAAAGGTAGTTTAATTATAATCCTTCCAAGACCTTGTCACATTTATACATTTACCCCCGGTAGGTATGTACCTGATCTAGTTGATGATTCTGCCTTTGTTATTTTTTTGCCTTCTGAATTCATCTTTGGTTTCAATATCACATCGAAAATGTTGTTCTGAGATATCTGTGCATAACTGATCATGTGATGTTGTTTCCTAGGAAACAGGTGTATAACTGATCATGTGATGTTGTTTCCTAGGTAACAGATGTATAACTGGCCAGCAGCTGAGTCTAGAGGGAAACACGGTCAACGACTCCCACGCAGAAATCATCACTCGTCGGGGCTTCATTAGGTATGCCTACAAGCATTAAATCCCTGGTTCCTATATATATCTACCTGGTTCTCTATAAAAGCTAAGCTTTGTGTTTTCAAATAAAATTTAATAGCTAATTCCAAAAATTCACTTGAAGTGGAACAAAATAGTTTTGACAGCTTGTTTCTTATTTGTTTGGTTTGCTATTTTTAAACTTATTAATTTTCAACACTTATTTTTTTTAAATCATAATAATGATACTATGATCAATCAAGTCAACTTGTATGATCCATAAATTGGCCCTTACAGAGCCTTCAGTAAAGTCATGTCATCTTTCAAGGCCATAGAGACGATATATGTGTATTAAGACAAGAAGCATTGGATTTTGGCTAAGGAAACTGTAAAATAACTGCTGAAAATCTATTAACTTTATTTGTTTTATTAGGAAATGTTATATATTTTACAGGTTCCTGTACAAAAAGTTGTTGACTTTTGAACCCAATGGCCCCAATGGTTTCTTTGTGAAGTCACCGTCGGGAAAGTTAAAGATAAGGGATGGAATAACGTTCCACCTGTATATATCTACGGCTCCATGTGGGGATGGCGCTCTCTTCTCTCCCAGGTAATTACCTCCCTTGCCCTCCCAGATAATTACCTCCCTTGCTCTCCCAGGTAACTACCTCCCTTGGTACCTTTAGGTGTCGCTTGGGCACCTTTATTCAATCATCAACCCTTTAACTTTATTCACTCGGAGTGGAATATATCCAAAATACATCTGATAAAATATGAAATAAAATCTATTGTAATGTGGCTGAACTGAATTGCATGTTCAAGATCAAAGCCACATTCAGTGCAGAAATAATTTTGGAACATTTGCAACATCGTCGGAAACCCACAGTTGATTTCGCTTCGGTACTCGCTCATCACTGAAGCAAAATCAACCGTGGGTATCCGACGATGCATTTGCAACTGAATGCATTATTGTCATTGAAAGAATCGCAAATAGGTCAGTGTGCTTCATTGTTGTAACAGCTATCATTTCTGCTCTCCACCATCCATTTTGTATTCCTAGGGCCTACTTTACCAATGTTCACAATTGTATTGAATCCTACCATCTATATTTCATCAGTTACAAGTGCCTGCTTCCCAACCCTGCTTATATATTAATATCAGGGGTAGCCTTTACAATGATTACTTACCTTAACATCTGTTTCATTAAATAAATGGCATGTCTGATATTGAACACTATATCATTAAAACATGTTCATCTGTGTTTATCGAACAGGTGTGGAGTTGTAAAACACCGAGATGAATGCATTGTTGTATACTTACCTTGTATTCCACGTTTTTTACCAACAGAGATTCTGCCTCTAACAATACCCCGCTGGCGTCTTTGACAGACCGAACCCACCACCCAACTTTTACCAGCCAGGTACAGGGACTACTGCGCACAAAAATGGAGGGAGGTGAGGTCACACACAAACATATTTAAAAAAATTAATGATGTTAAATAATAATAGGAGGTGCTGAAACATAATTAGATTTCAGATTGTAAAACAGGTAACATTATTTGCTACTAGAAACCATAAATGTTGGAACTGAATCTGCAAATTCATGGGGTTTCTTGTTTGTTGAATAAATAAATAAAACAATAATGCAAAGTCAGGGAAATGCCTCAAGCTGTTCTACCCCACTTGATCTAAAGAAATAATTTGGGGCTTACAGCAGAATTCTGGGGCAAGGCATGTACTCAATTTCCCAACTAGTCGAATCGTTTCCTCTGCAAGGTGGCATTACAGAGACTTCGCTTTTGTCATGACAAATTCCAAGAGTGTAGAGAAAATCTGTATCGAGTTTTGAACCCTTTGATTTTGAGGATGTAGTTTGCCCAGTATGAACTTGATGTTTTGATATGTCGTTTTGGATCTAAAATTAGATGTATTTCACAATCCTTTTACATTATCCAAGGGGAGGGAACCATTCCAGTGGAACCGGACTTCACCGTTCAGACATTTGATGGTATCCAGAGAGGGGAGCGACTCCGAACCATGTCATGTACCGACAAAATCTGTCGATGGAATGTAGTCGGTATGCAGGGAGCTCTACTCAGCCACTTTTTAGAACCAGTCTATCTAGATTCCCTAACACTGGGTAAGTGTTCTAAATCTGTAGAAATCATTTTAGTTTGTTCATAATTTATCTTGTGTTCATATTTCAATTTTCTATCACAGTAAAGGATATTGAATAGTAGCTTGTATATAGTTAACTTTATGTTTTCATTGCTTAGCTGAAACTAAAAGAATGCAATAGTCTAAAAAAAAACACTGTAATACGCAATATATTGAAGAGATAATCTTTACAGAAACTTAACAAAAGTTGCGAATCCCCCATTACTTAGGAACCAACACATTTTGACAGTAATTTCAATGAATGATCATTTATAAGTATAAGATCGGGAACATTTGAAATTGTTTACAGAACCAACACATTTTGACAGTAATTTCAATGAATAATCATTTATAAGTATAAGATCGGGAGCATTTGAAATTGATATTCTGTTGAGTCAATATTGATTTTGTTTGACAGGATTTCTGTTTGACCCTGGTCACCTGGCACGTGCCGTGTGTTGCCGTGTGAACCGAGGTGACACAGATATCAACACAATGTTACCTGAGGGCTTCCAGCTGAACCATCCCTGGTTAGGTCGGGTCACCGCCGTGGAGCCATCACGTGAGACGCAGAAAACCAAGGCCCTCAGCATCAACTGGTGCTACGGGGATGACAAGCCAGAGGTCACAGATGGAACACAGGGGTTGTGTTACACTAGGTAAGGGGTCAGGGGTCACGGAATTCATACAGTGGCTGTGTTACTCTAGATAAGGGGTCAGAGGTCACAGATGGAACACAGGATATGTTACAATAGGCAAGGGGTCAAAAGTCAGTCAGAGCACAGGAGCTGTGTTACACTAGGTAAGGATATGAGGTCACAGATTGAACAGGGGATGTGTTACAATAGGCATGGGATCAAAGGTCACAGATAGAACACAGTGGCTGTGTTGCTATAGATAAGGGGTCAGAGTTCAGTGACGACACAAAGAATGGGCTAAACTATGTTAGATCAAGCTTAAGGAAAACACACAAAGGGTCAGAGGTCAATGACAGCACACTGGCTGTTTAACACTAGGTAAGGGTCAGAGGTCAATGATAGCACACTGGCTGTTAAACAGTAGGTAAGGGTCGGAGGTCATAGAGAGCACACTGGCTGTTTAACACTAGGTAAGGGTCAGAGGTCAATGATAGCACACATAGTGGCTGTGTTACATTACATTAAGTAAGGTCGGAGTAGAATTACAGCTCATATAGGGATTAAGTTATAAATTACTTTACACCATATGATAACCATGCCGAGGATATAACTTTCCAGTAAACAGAAGGAATATAACATGGATCAATATGAATTCAGTGCAACGAGAAAAGTTTATCTTTAACAATTTTTATTAATATTCCTTGAATCAAGGTTTGTAACATTGGAATGTTAATATTTTGAAAATTGTTGAAAATGTTAAAAGTTGGGAACTGGTGTTACTTCCACAAGTTTTGCCTAAAACTATTGTTGACATTATTATGGCTTCAACCTTTGCTTTCGTTTGTTACAATTCTGATCATATTGATATTTCAGTATCGAGAAAGCATTTTTCTCTCGCTGTACCAAGAAGAACTTGTATGACAGTTTTAAACAAGTGTGTCAGAGGTTTGGACGACAGGATCTTTTACAACACAAAACATACAGTCAGTCCAAACTGGCTGCCACAGACTTCCAGGAAGCCAGGAAGGTCATGCTGAAGAAAATGACGGAGAGCAACTATGGCACTTGGGTATCGAAACCTATAGAGGAAGAAATGTTCAGCTGATCACAGTTAAACAGAATCCCAATGGGAAAATGAAACAGCTTTCCAGTGAATAACCACAATGGTTACCTGAGTTATCAGGCTTTCCAGTGAGTAACCACAATGGTTACCTGAGTTATCAGGCTTTCCAGTGAGTAACCACAATGGTTACCCGAGTTATCAGGCTTTCCAGTGAGTAACCACAATGGTTACCCTAGTTATCAGGCTTTCCAGTGAGTAACCACAATGGTTACCTGAGTTATCAGGCTTTCCAGTGAGTAACCACAATGGTTACCCGAGTTATCAGGCCTTCCAGTGAGTAACCACAATGGTTACCCGAGTTATCAGGCCTTCCAGTGTGTAACCACAATGGTTACCCGAGTTACCAGGCCTTCCCCTAAGTAACCACAATGGTTACCCGAGTTACTAGGCCTTCCCCTGAGTAACCACAATGGTTACCCGAGTTACCAGGCTTGCCAGTGAGTAACCACAATGGTTACCCGAGTCACATGGCCTTCCCTCGAGTAGGTTACTAGACATCAGGCTCTCCAGTAACTAATGGTTACGCAAGACATCAAACTCCCCAGTGAGTTATCAAGTTATCCAAGACATCGGACTATCCACTTTCTAGTTAGTAACCAGTGGCTACCTGATTCAACAGGTCCTTCAAATGACTAAGTGATTAGTGGTTACCAGAGACATAAGACTGGTTACCGGGGGCATCAGGCTCTTTCAGCGAGAAACCATTGGTTATCTAAGTGACATGTGGAGTCTTGTTACATTAACTTGCTGCATCTTTCTACAATGCAGATGTTCAATAAGTAACTTTCATTGGAGGCTTGGCAATTTAGTTTTAAGACAGGGTATGAATTTATTATCGTGTTCTAAATGAAAATTGGATTACATCAGTAGGCATACAGTAAATGGATGCTTATACAAAAATAACTATTAATTGTAATGTTTCAAACTGATTTTATGCAACAGAAGCTCTGGTGTTATGTTACTGATGTTTGGCTATATTCATGATGGTGAGACACAAATATTAACAGGGGAGGGATACCGGTCCCTATGTTTTATCTATCAAATTACTTTTTTGACAAGCATTGTTGCAATTAACTGTCCTTTTATTCTGATATCCTATTCAAAGGACTCATCAAGATTTGCTTTGGCAAGCCTTTCAGGGTCTAGTCTGACTGGACGACAAAACAAAAGTGCATAAAGATTGCTAAGACTTTAATACTGAGTAATAAAAATTGAATTGAAATCTGGTAGAAATTTGAGTTTGCTTGTTCATAGAATGGACCTGAATTTTTTTGTTAACACGTATTTAGTAGAAACTTATTAAATCATTTGGCTAGAAGTTTGAGGCTTTGAACATACTGTATTTATCCTCCAATAAGTCTAGGGGCCGACACATAACATAATCTCTTACTCAAAGCAGGAAGTGAGCTTTATTTCAGGAAAATAAAACACTTTGCAGCATTTGTTGCAATATATTAGGGTGGGCTTATTAACAGACATGGGCCTATTGCTGGATAAATACGGTATTGGTTCTGAATATACCTTGTGCCCTTGTCATAACACTTGTTTCTCTGTACAGTTTTCTGTATTTCTTCCATAGAGTTTATATATATATAGAAAGGGACCAATAAGGCTTGCTGCATGTTCCATATATTTTGCAACTCACACATTGTCGTATTAATGTTAAACATTGACTCAACTTTCGCTTTTTACCTCTGACATGTACAAAATGCAGTCACCAATCATACGATATAATGTTTCTCGAAAAAATAGGAAAATAATTTTTGAGAGAAAAAAAACTGTTTCTGGTTATTATTGACGACATTAAAATTTCCCCCTTTTTGTAAAATGTTAGGGGAAAAAATATTGTGACGCACGTTTCATGAACAATTTGTTTGGGTTATGGCTAAAATTGCAGGATGAGAGATGGAGTGAGAAATTCACTCGATAAGGTGTGTTGATATTGTCTGATAGCCTTGCTATAAATATATGTATAAATTTGTTTCTGATCTGTTGGAGTGATTATTGAATATTTTGTGTTGCATGCTTACATTTTCATATTGCAATATATCACAATATATTGTATTCCTAGACATTTTGTTTATGATTGCTTGATTGTAAAATATGTAAAGTTAGCATCAATTAGCAATGTTCAATGATAGATTGAAAGTAATTTTACCATCTATAGTTTGGAGAGAGTCATCATAACAAGCAAGCTTCGATGCGGGTGCCCTATCAGTATGGTAATCAGGTTGTCCGTCAGTAAGTCTGTCTGTCCGTTTTTTTTCTTTTGCACAATACTGATGGAAGTAAATTGAGTATGGTTTTAAAATTTTACATGACAATTTCCCATGCATCCTAGTTCTGCCTAATAATTTTTCGGGCAGATTGGATTCAAAATGGCTGCTAATCAGCCATCTTGGATTTTAACATTAACAAATTCAATTTTTTTTGCTCTTAACCGGTTAACATTTTGTTATGACATTATGAAGCAAAGTTGGTCACAATACAACAAGAAGTCAACTGATTGAAAGTCCAGGTCGTCGGATCAAAGGTCAAGGTCAGATTTTGTATCTTTTCCCTGATGAACATTTTGTTAAAATGTATGACATTATGAAGCAAAGTTGGTCGGAATTTAACAAAGAGTAAACTGGCTTTAAGGTCAAGGTCACTGGGTCAAAGGTCAATGTCAAATTAAGTATCTTTTCACTGGTGAACATTTCGTTATGACACTTTGAAGCAATGTTGGTTGGAATTAAACAAGGAGTCATTTGACTCAAGGTCACTTGGCCAAAGGTCAAGGTCAAATATTGTATCTTTTCACTGATGAATATTTTGTTATGACATTATATAGCAAAGTCGGTCGGAATTTAATAAGTAGTCAACTGACTTAAGGTCAAGGTCACTGGGGCAATGTCAAATATTTTATCTTTTTACTGATGAACATTTTGTTATGATATTATGAAGCAAAGTTGGTCGGAATTAAAGAATAAGTCAACTGACCAAAGATCAGGGTCACTGGGTTAAAGGTCAAGGTCATTTGGGTCCAAAGGTCAAAGACAAAGTGGATCTCTGACTTTGACCCTGGCTCTTGATGGGGGAGGTATTTAAGGTAAAATAAAACGAATCAAAGCTAATAAATGAGTATTGCACCGGTATTTACATTTCTGTTAGCCCAGCAAATATGGAGGTGGAAGGAAACAAGACTCGCATCATAGTACATGTAAAACGTATATTTTGCTTCCTTGTGATTCTTTTTGAAGTCCAAATGTCTAACGTCAAGCTCAGCTATATGGGCAGATTGCTTCTTGATGATTATGGGGGATATATTGCCACAAGACGGGGCCCTTACTGACCTGTCAGTGTTCTAGTTTCTGTAGAATTATTTCGTAACTATGCTTAAACTCAGGAAGAAGGTTGTTTAAAAAATGATTACACTTTATTGCCATTTTGAAATCATTGCAATAAATTGGTAGACAGATATTGCCATATTATCGGCAACCCCTATGAATAACAGGTTTGTGTTATTTTGAGTAAACAAGCCATTCAGATTGATATGTCTCGCATGTGCCACGCTTTGACCATCAATGCACATATCGGAGAAACTAACTTAAACGCAAAAAGTTAATGTTTGATGGAGATGCTGAAAAAGTCAATGGACCAGGAAAGGAAGGCTGCATCCAGCATTTGTTGCATGGGTTGCGATGTACTACCATTTGATGCATGGGTGCGATGTACTACCTAGTAAGATTCATCTATGGTCCAAGTTTTGTTGGTCTAGCACTTATACTTTCAGTGAAAGTAGCTTAAACTCAAAAATGAAAGACATTGAATCAGCTTTACAGGTATTTTAGAAAATTGAAATTAAGTGGGAGTGTTGAATTGATTTCAACCTAATGTGTAAGAAATAAAATGGAAGCTTCTATAAACCTGTTACATATGCAGAACTGTAGTAAATAAGTAAAGTATACCAGACAGGGTAGAGTTTTATTCCCCAAACCCCTTCCCTCGAGGGAATATAACATTCATGTCTATGTATGTTCACCTTTTGTCATCACCTAGTGACTTCAACTCGGACCAGATTTTGAGATTTGTCGATCATGATGCGGTTGGTCATATACTAAAAACTAAAGTGTTTCAAGGTGTGATATAGAAAATCAGTATCATTGCTCTATGACTTAATTTCTGAAGAGAATTCTTAGTTTCACTTCTGACTGTAGAGTTCTTAGTTTCACTTCTATCTGCAGAATTCTTAGTTTCATTTTTGACGGAAGAGCTCTTAGTTTCACTTCTGACAGAAGAGCTCTTAGTTTCACTTCTGACAGGAGGGTTTTTAGTTTCTCTTCTGACAGAAGAGTTCTTAGTTTCACTTCTGACAGAAGAGCTCTTAGTTTCACTTCTGACAGGAGGGTTTTTAGTTTCACTTCTGATGGTTGAGTTTTTAGTTTCACTTCTGATGGTAGAGTTTTGCTTAAATTTGTTTGAAATTTTACCATTGTATTATGTATTATATTTTTTAAAAGAATTGTAAAGATTTCATTGATATAAGCATAAAAAAAAAATTCTATTTAATTTTTAGCAATTATGCTAAATAGATTCAAAGGAAATGTGTATAGTATATATATAGTTAGTTTTAGGAGAGATTCAAAATTTTTAATTTCTTACTGTCAAATAGCATAAAGACAGTTCGACTTGCAAAGTAGCGAAGACAGTTTTCATTTGATAAGAATATGTCCACCAAGATGAGATGTGTACCGGTACTATTATATAAAGTTTATATAGTGCCAAAATAGTTAACGAAATTATTCTTAACCCTTTCACCACTGTAGACCATAATGGACTCGTCCAGATCAATGTATAGTAGAGTCTACTAAAGTTACCTAGGGGTGAAAGGGTTAAGCACTTCACAAATGGAACGTGTTACAGTGTGTCCATTCATAATCTTTTTTTTTTGGTAAGAACAACTTTACTTTCCATCCATATGCCATAAAACTCATAAGAGTTTACCACCGTCTTTATATAGTTGTGTATGTGTATCAGACATTGAATCGATAGTTATTTGCAGAGTTATTGCCCTTTGTGTATTCGGAGCATTACAAAATTTTCCATCCAACTTCTACCTAGTAAATCCCCATTTTCCCCTGAAAGAAACTAAAGCAAGTCTGTGAAATCAGGTGAAGTTTTTCATAGTATCATTACCCCGAAAGTAAAACTAATTGATAACCTATGTATGTGATACAAGGTGAATAATGATTGAGGATATGATCCTTTGGTAATTATGTATGATGTTGAATTATACTGTTACATTAAATGAACTTGCAGAATAGTTGCAATATGTTTTATGCCAGTTGGTCTTGTCATTTATCAGTCCCCAACCATGCTTTGTTCTTCTTAATGGGACAAGTATTTGCAGTGACAGAAGTCTCCTTTCACTGTGTGTTTTTACTTGAAATACCATGCATGATGAAACAATTTGATACAAGATGTACCTACCACATATACGTATACATATAAATGAAAATTATACCATCACAACATGGACATATTTCCACATGTAACCCTCTCCTCCCATTAAAGTCGGAAATGTTAATCTCAGTATTGATAATCTGTATATAACAAGGTAACTTTTGTGTCTGTATCGTTATTTAAGTTTTGAATTATCGATTATCAAGATAATCCCCCTAATAAACATATCGAGGGGTAAAGAATCAAGAGCTGTGTCCATGAAGGACACCTTGGACTGGAAACAATAGCTAGACCTACATAGAGTTGACTCTGCCAGCCATCAGAGTGATGGAAGAGGAGTAAAGGCGGGTAGGGGCCATCTGCATGAGTAAACACTAGACTTTGCTACATTGGGAAGGCACAAAAGAGCAAAATGTTCACGAACTATCATCCAGATGATGGAAGGGTACAGGTCCATGTATGATGTTCTACTGAGCCCACAAATCTGTTAACCTGAGGATTGAAGGAAAATGCAACATGTTTACTTTGCGGACGACCTGCCAATCTGGCACATGTGCTATCACTGTACACAATTGCCTAACACAAATGGGAAGTACACATAGCACTGTGATCTAGGAGATGAAAAGAGTTCTGACAATGCCAGAAGGAAGAAAATGACAGTCATGAAAAAACCAAATTGTCAATCTTGTGAAGACAGGGACCAATGGAAATGGCACCTTGGAAGTACTAGCAAAAGCAAGAGATAGAAAATGAGGGTTTACATTCACCAGAGGATGGCTTTCCTAGCACAGGCCCATATCAAGAATTAAGCAAGTCTAGATGGTAGAACTCATTGTACCATGGAAAGACAGGACAAGAGAGGCACGTGAGAGGAAGAAGTACCAGCAGCTGATGGAAGACTGCCAGCAACATGGTTGGAGGGTTTGGTATCTGCCTGTAGAGGATGGATGCAGGGCTTCCATAGTTGATCATTGAGGATGGTGAGGTTGCTGGCCGTGGTAAGAACAGTTTGAAAGAGGCTGATGGAAGTGTCTGACTAGACGTGAGGAGGCAGAAGGGTGATGTAGTAGGAAGGGGCTGCAGTAATATCAAGGCAGTAGGCTGCATCTTAAACCATTAACACTGAGAGCCATCAAGTCCCTTAATGGGCATGATGCACCCAGTTGGTGCACCTCTGGGGGCCAAAACCTTCCCCGAAGGAAGACCATCAACCCGAATAAAAGATACATTGTAACTAGATGGTGTATAGTGAGCAAAGGTCTGAAACACGTTCAAGGTCATACTGTATACCGGAAAATTTCTGCTGCAGTTTAATTGTCACCCTGCATGAGGGCTAATTTATCATTACAGCGAACATACATATGCAACATTTTAGTAATCAAATGTTAAGGGCGAATTTAAAACTGGGCGAATATAGATTTTACCGGTAAAGGGCGGAAGTTTGACTGGGTTAAAAAAAATCCTGGTATACAGGTTAGTGGTGAACTAAGTTTAACTTAAATTAACATCTAAACTGCTGATGTTATCCAATGAAACTGGAGGCATTTGTATCATGCATGCAACTAGAGAGTGTGGTGTGTAACACAAAAGTCTGCAAACCCAACAATTTGTATTGTCACGTGAAACTTCGGATGCAAAAACATCTATCATGAATAGGCATGGAGCCACCCAAAATACAATGCAAGAGATTACGGTCAGTTCTTAACAATAATTGGAAAATGATCGGACAGAGGAAAAAGAATAGATTACCGATAAGCCAAAACTGTTAAGTTTTGGACGACCAACTTATTGGTTTTCATTTGCTTTGTCTCTTTTAAATGAAAGGGTGTACTCCTGTATAAACAAACACTATAAACCATTTATGACAATCATTTATTTCACTTTTTTGGCTACTTTGCATTTTTCATTCAAACTTATTTTAATGACACTGAATAGTCAAAGAGATTGGGCACAAGTTCTTACAACTTACTAGGCTCTCTCACAACTACTTAGCAGTTCAGATTTCATACTTAATCTGTTAAATTTGAAAAATTTTCTGAACAGAAAATTCTGATTGTCCAGATTAGTAAATGTCAGGTATGTTTGTTAAAATTCATTGCAACTTATTGAATTAAAGAGAATTTGATCATAAAATGAACATCATCACTTTCAAAATTTACTGAATGTCAGTGGTACTCTATATGGAGCATATTTAAAAAGATAATGTCTCTGTTAATTGATTTGGAGGTAACTGTGTTCAGGAGACCTGATATTGATCTCAACGACTGCAATTCCTCTCTAATTTCTCCTTTTTGCAGGCATTTTATTTTAATAATCAATCATTCATTAATACATTCATACATCAATTCGTTCATTCATAACATATCATTATATTTTCACTCTTTTTTAATTGTTCCGAAATAAAGTACATTTGTACACTCACTGGGCTTGTGAAACATACTTGAAAAAAGAATATATAAGTGAAACTGTCATTTTTCCCACACGCTGATTGGTCAAAACACCTCTTATGGGTCTCAATATATTGCGATGTTACCCCGAAACCTACAGAATCCATGCACGTGAGGTAAATATAACAGTCCAAAACCCCGGTCCAAGGTTAATAAATCCTCGTATTCACCTGAAAATAGGTCTATAACTGTATATTATGAACCTGAGAAAGAGATATTAACCCGAGATGAAATTGAGGTCAATATCACTTTCTCATGATCCGTATAACTAAACACAATAGGCTACTGGAAAAAATAAACACAATAGGCCTCCATAATGTGCTGAGTAAAGTTGTATGTTGGGTAGCACATCAATGAAACTTTTAATCTAATAACAGTGAACCAAAGTGCCTTCCTTCCCTATCGGCCTTTCGGTCGCTTGGTTTGCACAAATTGAGTAGGCCATGCATGGCTGATTTTGACTATACCTCACTTTTCTCTATTGGAATATTTATACATTTTGTGTTGTTGTTTACACTTTTAGGGGATTTTTATCAATGAAACACACAAAAAATCAGTAAATTTTACAGGATTTATCTATTGAAAATTAATTTCAGCTAAAAAATTGAAATATGTAGAAATATCACTTAAATGCTAACACCACGTTATGATTACGAGTGGACGTTATGACATCAACAATCCTTATCACAAGATCATGTTGATCACTCTATAGCTGTCTGTTTCTTAACAGGAATTTCAATCTTCCTTTTCAAAATTAGAAAGACAACTATCTTGCATTACAATGGCGAGCCAATATCACACTTTCTCTCATACTTTTCTCAGACATATAAAAACTCAAACATATACTACAACAACTTACATATTATAAACATCACTCTAAAATATCATACATAATTAACAACATCACTTCTTATGATTTCTATGTTCAATTTCTGTTAATTTCTATACAATCTCCATCCATTTTTATGAAAAAAAACGTGGGAGCTGAAGGCATATTTTTCAGTATTATAAATAGTAAAGATACATTTTATAACATTTGCGAAAACCAACACTCCTTTCACTCACTTTAAATATAAAACACAGCTTGTAATACTATAAATACAATTAAGTTTTGTGAACAATCAGGTTTGTAAATTTTTTAATCAAAAAAATGTTCCAGTCAGCATATTTAAATATTTTATATTCTTGATCATTTATTGTATTTTAATGCTACTTAATGATTATTTCTAACCAATATTCCCATAATTTCCACATATGAAATAAATAAACAAGTATGGAGAAATTGGTTTGCCTTGTCAAACTTCTCGTTGGGAACCACCTCTGATATCAACCTGCAGACGAAGACACTTGTTGATTATCATATAATTAGACAATAGCTCATTAATATAATGAAATCATAGTATTCTCATTGTGCAATGTAATGAATATTGACAAAATATGGTAAAAGATGTGGTACTATCAGTCTAATGAATATTCATGGTATCAATAAATATTCATGATGTAAGTACAAGGTGTTTTTTGTTTTGCTTTACCTCGTATTTTAAAATAGCTATGGTCATTTAAGGAGGTGCCAGGTTTTGGTGGTGGATGACCTCTGACCTGTGGCCAGTACCCGAAGACCTCTGACCTTCAGTCAGTACCTTAAGACTACCCTATGTAGGCCTCCAACCTGTGACCCATTGGTGGAGGGATAGTGGTAGCAGGCTTTGGTGGTGGAGGAAAGCCAGAGTAACCAGAGAAAACCTCTGACCATCAGCCAGTACCTGAAGACCTCTGACCTTCAGCCAGTACCTGAAGACCTCTGACCTTCAGTCAGTACCTTAAGACTACCCTATGTAGGCCTCCAACCTGTGACCCATTGGTGGAGGGCTAGTGGTAGCAGGCTTTGGTGGTGGAGGAAAGCCAGAGTAACCGGAGAAAACCTCTGACCTTCAGCCAGTACCTGAAGACCTCTGACCTTCAGCCAGTACCTGAAGACCTCTGACCTTCAGCCAGTACCTGAAGACCTCTGACCTTCAGCCAGTACCTGAAGACCTCTGACCTTCAGCCAGTACCTGAAGACCTCTGACCTTCAGCCAGTACCTGAAGACCTCTGACCTTCAGCCAGTACCTGAAGACCTCTGACCTTCAGCCAGTACCTGAAGACCTCTGACCTTCAGCCAGTACCTGAAGACCTCTGACCTTCAGCCAGTACCTGAAGACCTCTGACCTTCAGCCAGTACCTGAAGACCTCTGACCTTCAGCCAGTACCTGAAGACCTCTGACCTTCAGCCAGTACCTGAAGACCTCTGACCTTCAGCCAGTACCTGAAGACCTCTGACCTTCAGCCAGTACCTGAAGACCTCTGACCTTCAGCCAGTACCTGAAGACCTCTGACCTTCAGCCAGTACCTTAAGACTACCCTATGTAGGCCTCCAACCTGTGACCCATTGGTGGAGGGCTAGTGGTAGCAGGCTTTGGTGGTGGAGGAAAGCCAGAGTAACCGGAGAAAACCTCTGACCTTCAGCCAGTACCTGAAGACCTCTGACCTTCAGCCAGTACCTGAAGACTACCCTATGTAGGCCTCCAACCTGTGACCCAGTGGTGAATGGCTAGTTACGATGGACACTTTAACCACTCGGCCACTGTGGCCCCGACAAAGTACAAGGTGAATAAACAAAAACATAATACATATAATAAAACGTATTAAATATAAAATAATTATAGTGATTAGTCTTCATTTAAACATGATTACATATTGATTCACTGCATTAAATGTGATCAAGCATGTGTAAAATATACACTATTTATATAAACACACTACTAAATATAAAATAACTGGCTTGGCAATGACAAACCATAACCTTGTAAACCAATACAATTAACTCTAACCACACAATTGTTCTGACATCCATCCATTGTTTCTTAAATATATAAAAAAATCACAGATAAACTTTCAATTATTGCATTAAAAAAGTTACATTGAATATCTACTAATATTATTTCAGGACATTTTTTTGAAAACACACTTTTCCACATCAATATACCAGTAGGTCTCCTAAAAATACCAAAATCTGATTTTAAAAGGGAAAGATTTGTTAAAAATGAAATTTGTGTGTATAACATAAATATTCAAATCAGTAATTAGGAATTAAATTATCTTGATTAATATACAGAACAAGATGATAATCATATTTTCTTGAGATATTTTTAGTTAAATTTTTAAGAGTTAAATTGTTTCATTAAGATATGTTTCAAATACTAAGCTGTGTAATATGTAATATTTATTCAACACATTAAGAAAAAAGATTGTTTTTACATTTTACATAGTAAAGTTGTGAGGGACACAATATTGTAGAAATAATTTGCGTCATCAAAATAAAGTGCTTTACAGTTTACAGTAACTGTTTATAAATACCCTCGCACAAAATATTTTCTAGAAATATTCACCTTTGTTAATAATGACAAAAAAACAACTTAAAATAATATTTCTGGACATTTAGTTTGTCGACATTATAGATATTGACAAAGTAACAAGGCTACAACATTATTAATTCATAACGTACATATCATTGTTCCCATTGCAGATATTCAAAACTTCAAAAAAAAAAAAAAAAGAGGATTGTCTAAAATAAATATAAATGATATATTAAAAATTAATGAATGTTCATACAACCTTCCTTTCAATAACCACTTCTCAAAAGTGTATTCAGCATTTCTTCAGTGAGGCTTGATGACAAAAAAATCAAAATAACATTTCCAATACATCCAAAATANAAAAAAAGTCTTCATTTATGGCTAGCAATGACTTTTTCAGTTCTGGTAATACAAATATTTTAGATAACACTACCATTGTTCACCCCTGAAATTTCATAATGAACTATTCCAACCTTTGAATTGGAGGAGTTCAAATGTGTCCTCAGGGGTGAATGAGTTGATAGGGCTTAAATTTTAGTAATCATCATTTTTACCAGAAACGCAAATTGCCTAGACTTACGATTTCTACTGTATTGATGTAGTCTGTATAGCTGTAGGTGGCAGAGTACAGTAGAAATGGCTTGACCTTAAAAATAAAGGGCATGTCTCGGATAAACATGGATAGCGGATTCATCCTGCACAACACACCTACATATATATATATATTTATAAACTACATTTTTAATAGGTGTTTTTTAGAAGAACATTTTTTTTTCAAAAAGTGATTTCCCCAGATTTGGGACTTCTGAAAACCATGGTTACCACATCAAAAAACACCAAAATATGCAAAAAATCATGATTTTTAACCCAGAATTTGACCCCCGCAAGTAGAATTGTTTTTCTTAAAACCTGTCTGAAATTAAATATCGCCTACTCGGTAACAGAAATACTCACGTTTTAGCATAGGTCATTCCGGTGGATTTATCACAATATTTACACATGTGCTGAGTACAAAAATAGACTACATGAAAAGCTAGCTTTTGTTGTGTAGACACAGATTCGTAAAAGCCCAAAATTGAAGTCTCAAACCAAATTCGATTTTTTTTTTTTGAAAAATTATGAAGCCCACATAATCCACTTCATCATGTATATGCCAATTTTAGTGCTGATTTTTTTTTTTAATTTTGATAGATATTATACTACAGGGGTTATTCATTGTATAAAAATATCACCCATGGCCACCGTACGCTACTGTACTCTGCTACCGTAGTATTAACACTTAAGTCTACTTGTTGTATATGAGAAAGTTTTTGAAGCTTTGCCACTTGTTACTGTCATGGTAGAGGTAGGTCATGGATGACCGAAGTGATGGCTGTAGCGTGTCACTTTCGTACTCAAACAGCCAAAGGACGATTCCCCAAACAATGGCGGCAAACCAAGGAAAGGTATCGCCCTTGGGCTTTGGAATGAAACCTTTCTTCACTGCCAACTTTGCTAGTCCATATAAGATCCGGGACAAGAGGTACAGGTTTATCTGAAAAAGAGATGATGAGGACAGTGGTTTATTAATCTAAAGGGAGAAAAAAGGTAGATAGAGGTTAAACTAGAGAGAAGGAAAAAAGGTAAATGTTTATCTATAGAAGGGAGATGTAGATATTTATCTAGGGGGAAACGGGAGAAAAGTGCAGCAGATATATATAGAGGTTCCAGAATGACTGGTGGTTAGTTATCATGTTTAGCTAACTCGAGCCTGTGTATTTTAAAATTGTATAAAGACACAAGGTTTACTAAACTGTCTTTTTACAATTTGAAAATTAACTAAGGATAGTTAGATAAACTTGATGATGAACCATCACAAGTATGGGGACGTTTTCCTCTCACAATGTTTAGATATTATACTTTTATTTCAAAATATTTGATTAAATCAATCACATTTAAAGGGAATTGGGCAACAGGCAAAGCCTATACAAGCCCTCTCCCTGAAGATATTATTTCAAGAAAACCATGTTTCTCTTCGGGATACGTTATTCTTGTTTCTGATCAGAGAAACAACTGCCACAAACTATGATGTCACAATAGAAGATGATGTCCCAAAGCAATGTTACATGATGTCATAATTTAGAAGATTGACCAATGAAATCATGTCCAATGTGTTACCCACTAGTAGGTAACCAAAATGTTTACCAATACCTAGCAGGTTTATCCAAAGAGTTGGGAGTGAGAACTATAGAGGAACCACTAGAACAGACAGAATTGAAGAGGTACGTCTAGAGCAGAGAGATGTGCTGGTTTTACGAACAGGTGAGACTGTAAAGTCTAGTTTCTATTCAAAAACAAAATATGTATGTCATATTATTAGTTTATTCCTGACAGAAAAGACGTCTAAGTATCCTTAACTTTGAAATAGCTTTAAATGTTTCACCAGGATTGGGACATTAACTCATTCATCCCTGAAATTTCATAATGAACTATTCCAACCTTTGAATTGGAAGAGTTCAAATGTGTCTTCAGGGGTAAATGAGTTACCTTGATTAAGTATCAGTTACATATTGATAAGAACAACACTCTCCAATAACTCACCTGTTCATTGACCTTGTTATACTTCCCAAATATGAAGTATCCAGCACAGAATGCTGCAGCAAACGAGTGGAATTGTTCTGGTTTATTCTGAGCCACGGCCATCAGGCTTGTCAAAGCCTTGTACGAAAACACAAACAGTGCCAGGTTACGCGAGTGAGTGTAGGTAGCCTCAAATATCCCCTTAGACATGTCCTTTAAGCTGACAAGACAACAACAACAAAAGTTTGAGATAAGAAAACAAGATAAACAAATTGGAAATTGGTGGAAAATATTCAATATTAGTGCAACTTTCTTTTGGCTCTAGCACCAGATTTTTGTGATTGAAAGATATATATGGTGATTTTACGTTTTTCTTCAGTGTACATGTACATTTACTGGTATTTCCCTGTAACCCTTTCAGCCCTAGGTATCTTGAGTAGACTTTTACCATACATTCATTTGGATGAGCCCATTATGGCCTACAGTGGTGAAAGGGTTAAACATCATTCTAACTATTCTATACAACACAATTGTGATTATCCTTACAGCATGTAAAGGCACATCCTTGATAAGCTGTGGTTACGCTTACTTTCGCTCTCTGCATCCCTGGAATATGTCATGACGAAATTGAAGGCTCATTTTGTGCCAACTTAATGTGGATGAGATGAGAAGACTAGTTTGATACTTTGATGTACATCAAAAAAATCTCTCAGTCACATCGGAAAAAATGACTAGCTTTTGAAATCGGGTGTCGCTCATTTGTAATCCTCAAAGGCGCTGGAAGCAGCCTAACGACTAGTCAGATTTTTTTTATCGGAAACCGATCAAATACCGTTAATTTGCGGGTATACTGCGCAATCGGGTATAGTGCGCAGGTACGTTTTTGGGGTCAGATTTGAAAACAAAAAAAATGAAAATAAAAATGAAGTAGTTAGGTGTGTGCATTCAAATTTGCTATGACATATTCCAGGGGTGCAGGGAGCATAGGTGACCATAACCCCTGGAGTATCGAGCATGGTATGTATTACCTGTAAGTTAGTTCTTGCCCTATATATGACACTTCACATAGTTAGGAAAATAAGTACAGGTGGGTTCTAACATTTCTGTAGGTAGTTTGTTCAACCATTTTGAACTAAAATGTTTAATGTGTAAACATGTACCTACCTGCCACGTTTAAACAGCAGAGTCATCACTAGGGAGTGAGGAAGTCTAACTTTTGCTCCATACCTGTGTGAAAAGTTGACTTGACAATTATACACATATTTACATCAAATTAAATATTTCCAGGTCTGTTGCTCTACTGATAGAACTAAAGGGAAATTCCCTCTTGCAAGAAACTAAAAAGGCAACCGTAATCCTATGTACAATTAAAACCTGTCACAGCATAACACAATAAATAATCCAAAGATCGAAGTACATTTGTTCATAAAATAATTGATGGATTTTGATGTCTCAACTTAAAAATAAGACAATAACAGAACACCAACACAATTGGTACATGGCAAGAAAATGGTTCCAATAGTACTCCATGAGTATGAGCACAGGGGCATGCAATTACTATTAATATTGATCTTTTTAGACTTTCAGTCGCTGGGTACGTTATATCCAAATACAAGCACAGGGGCACGCAACAACTATTAATATTGATCTTGTTAGACTTTCTGTCGCTGGGATATAACGTACCCAGCGACTGAAAGTCAACAAGATCAATATTAATGGTAGTTAGTTGCGTGCCCCTGTGTTATGAGCTAGGGGTTGTGCCCAACTTGATCAAGACATCTGTCATAATAGAATATAACTAGTATATAGGTCCATAACACCTGTCGGTTCTCCAGTAAGTTCATCAATGACATAAATAGAATAACTAGAAGTCAATAGAAAACTATTTTTTAAAGACACTTGAGAAAAGGATAGAAATCAAAGAACCTGTTGAAATTTACATTACTGAGTGAATGTTACTCTGCAGCTGTCATTTGTTGCAAACAGCAGTAAAGACAATAAAGATGAGTTCTGGTAAGCTATAAAGGCAATGTGTATCCTAAAAACGTTTCTGAATAATACTGACACTGCTCCATTCCTTAACCCCTTGATCACCGACAGCAACGGCTGGTAGTGGCCAGACGCCAGCAGACGATTCACACTATCAAGCAACGCCATCGCCATGTTTTTGTGACTTCCGGTACAAAGTAGGGGACTGTTCCGTTTTCAAGACATTGTTCAAATATATCTTACATTTAAAACAATGGCTAGCTCGTTGTGATTATATCCTTAAAACATCCTATGAATTTATAAATTAAAAAATTGATTAATTAAATCCAAGTGTTTGACAGGAATATTGCTAATTTTCAAATCTCTTTGCATTCGTCAATCGCTTTTCCATGTGGAACTCTTCAATTCAAGATGTCAGCGCCCATGTAACCGTGCACGCACATCTTTACTCCGCCTCTTTATTACACAATGGAAGAAGACAACGTTAATTTTCGTGAAAAGAATATGGAACAACTTAACCGTCTTTCTGTGGTTGCTATGAATATCACAACGCCATTGTCAAATTACTACACGTTAGTTAAAATATTATACGTTAGTTAACATGTTATCTTATATTTTTGACATTTGAAAGTGAAACCTTGAAATCACAATTTTCTACCTCTCTCTTTTTTGTCAGATACAAATAGTCTGTACAGGTTGGGACCATCTTCTCATCTGCGACATACTATTACACATGTATTTACATTCACAGATTGTGATACACTTATGTATATGTTGGTATATCTGGTTATAAACTGCATTTAGAAATACATGTAACACTGTCCTGAACACGTTAATAATGAAATGACTAGACAATGCACATGTGTCTATGTATGCGTAGGGGACATGTATTAATTTTATTGTGACTGGACAATTTGTTATGGCACAGGACATGAATAATGACTAGACAGTTTGTTGTGGTATTGTAGACATGTGTAGCAACACTGGACTTGGTCGATCGTCGGTGACCCGGATAGCTCAATTGGTAGAGCGTCTGTCTAGAGTTCGGAGGGTCCCAGGTACGAACCCCGCTCTGGCCGTGCATTTTTCCTCACCTGTTACAGTGATGCCTGTGACCAACCCTTGTTTCAATCATTTGGTGTATGCTTGACAAGGGGATACCCTAACCTGGGTTGTAAATAGTTGTGTCTTCGGGGGTGCAGCCTTAGAAAAAGGAGGCAGGAATGTAGCGGAACTGGACTGGCTCAATTGGTAGAGCGTCCGTCTAGAGTTCAGATGGTTCCAGTTTCAAATCCTGGTCTGGCCGGTGCATTTTTCCTCTCCTGTTACACATGTATTGTTATGATGGCCCCTTACAGAAATATTCAGTCTCTGGCACACTATTGCGATGATATCGCCGCCTGTTCAGATTTTGTATGCAAATTACGTTTCTGGCGATATATCGCCGCAGGATTCTGGTGATGTTCCGATTATCTAAAAGCCTTTGACACTAGGTTCTGGTGAGTTTGGGGCGATATCACCAGAATGTTCTGGTGCACTTGCAACGATATAGCCAGAATGTTTCGGTGCACTTGAGGCGATATCGCCACAGGCTAGGGTTCTGGTGATATTGTGACTCACCCACTCTGCATGTCTTGGCAAACAAGATTGGGATTCCCACAATCAAATATATGTTAATATTGCAACAGGGTTGTGCCAGTACATATAGTTTAGATACTAATTCATAGCTTATATTGCTCAGAGATTGGTAACAAAGTTCAACACATATATGGATAATTTCACAATGTGATATTTGTTAATATACAGTAGTTATCAATAATGTTAATAAAATGTATATATAAGTATGAACAGTTTTATAAGAAACAGTTCTGTATATTTTAGAAGCAACATGAACTTCTGTAAAATTATTACAGCAAAACCTAAAGCAAGATTTTGATATGATGTACTACACTGCTAAATACATGTAGTAGAATTGTGTAGGACACCATTTAAACTTAAACAGAAATGTATGAAAATGCACAACAGTAATTCAGTGAAGAATTTACATGTTTTGTGACCATGGATTATAAAAAACATAGAAGAAAACATACTCTACATTACCTTTTAAGACTCAAGAATGCTATCACTTTATCCAAAAAAGACTAAAGCCTCCTTATTTCACTCAATTTTCCCTTTTACCATGAGCTCTCCCTCATTCATCAGCCATTTTGTGATTTTTGAATTTGGGGTCAACTATATTTAGACAAGTTACAGAGGATCTTTGGAATTTCTTATCTGTGGTGCACTTCTGGCAATATTCTGGTGACATTCTAGTGATATGAAAACTGTGCCAGAACATCACCAGAATATTTTATCTGTGGTGCACTTCTGGTGATATTCTGGTGACATTCTGGCGATATGAAATTGCAAAAAATGACATCTGGTAACATGTTCTGGCAAACTGATTTTTTGTGCCGCGATATCGCTGCAATATTGCCACCATATCGCTGCAAACTTTCTATTTCCGTAAGGGGGATCATAGGTATCTGTGCCATACAAAAGAGATCAACTCAATGACCTAAATCACTGTGTATAATTATAGTATGTGTTCTGTATTACTCAGTACTATATTTTATAAAGTAAACCCCCCTAAAAACACATTCTTCTTTCGAGGCAGTCGCCGGTGATTAGATGATGTGTTGTGCGCCACAACACATCATCTAATGCACAACACATTNTTACCTGTGATTAGATAATGTGTTGTGCATTAGATGATGTGTTGTGCGCCACAACACATCATCTAATGCACAACACATTATCTAATCACAGGTAACTGCCTCGAAAAAAGTGGTAGGGGACATGTATTACGGGAGTGACTAGACAATGTCATAATATTACTTATTGGACTAGCAAATTGCTCAACTTTGTCGCATACAACATGCTTAGCTTGTTATCAGCTTTATATAATTCTAGCTGTATTTACATAGAGCTCTATAATATCTCATGACCAAGTCATTTACTTTTTATGTTGTGTGTCTGTTGTAGATTCGAAGCAGCTTCTCTAAACAAAAAGGCAACAGGTAATACAATTGTTCTTTGACGTTTTGTGTTTAAAACATAAGGCAAGATCATATTATAGTGGGCGCTTTACAAACTTTTTGAGATTAAGTAGATTTGTTTTAGAGGGGGTCATGTTCGGAAGAATTGTTGAAATGTATACTCTTCATGAATTCATGTCTGTATTTGTGTGATGAATTACCAGATAGTTTTGTGCAAAAGGTGCTTAATATATAAATGCATGCAATGCAAATGATCAACAAGTGTCTTCTTGTTTACCAAGGGATATTTTGTTTAAGGTATAGAATTCCATTTAACCAGGATATGTCTTTGCTTAGGAATAGACTTTATAGAAATAGTATTTAGTAATTTTACCAGTTAGTATCTTAGTGTAGGTACAGATTTACTGTTTACCAGGGGGTATCACAATGTATGTTTAGATTTACTGTTTACCAGGGGGTATCTCTGTGTATGTTTAGATTTACTGTTTACCAGGGGGTATCACAATGTATGTTTAGATTTACTGTTTACCAGGGGGTATCACAATGTATGTTTAGATTTACTGTTTACCAGGGGTATCACAATGTATGTTTAAAAGCTGTTTACCAGGGCGTATCACAATGTATGTTTAGATTTATTGTTTACCAGGGGGTATCACAATGTATGTTTAGATTTACTGTTTACCAGGGGGTATCTCTGTGTATGTTTAGATTTACTGTTTCCCAGGGGGTATCACAATGTATGTTTAGATTCACTGTTTACCAGGGGGTATCACAATGAATGTTCGGATTTACTGTTTACCAGGGCGTATCACAATGTATGTTTAGATTCATTGTTTACCAGGGGGTATCACAATGTATGTTTAGATTTATTGTTTACCAGAGGGTATCACAATGTATGTTCAGATTTACTGTTTACCAGGGGGTATCACAATGGATGTTTAGATTTACTGTTTACCAGGGGGTATCACAATGTATGTTTAAAAACTGTTTACCAGGGCGTATCACAATGTATGTTTAGATTTATTGTTTACCAGGGGGTATCACAATGTATGTTTAGATTTATTGTTTACCAGAGGGTATCACAATGTATGTTCAGATTTACTGTTTACCAGGGGGTATCACAATGTATGTTCGGATTTACTGTTTACCAGGGGGTATCACAATATATGTTTAGATTTACTGTTTACCAGGGGTATCACAATGTATGTTTAGATTTACTGTTTACCAGGGGGTATCACAATGTATGAAATATATTTCTGAAAAAACATTCTTGTGGTTCTTATCTTGCCTTGTAAAAAAATTGGCATAATTTATTAACTTTAATTAATTGAGATGTCATAAATTAATACTCATTTGTTATGACCTCTGATCTCTTGCAATGTATATACCTGTTGTACCTGCTCCTGTGCTCGCTAAGCAAGGAAACCATGGTTAAGATTCATATTCTAACGTTACAGAAAAATTGAAGGAGTGTCCATCATGTGGTCATACTTACCAGCAACCTGAGGATGTCTTCCGACTTCGGGCCAAGATTCCTTTGACAGGAAGAGTCCGCAAACTTCTCAGGAAATACATGCAAAACAAACATTCCTTGGGAAAGTGTCACCTCCATATGGTAGAGAGATACCTTGCTAGCACAAATTCAATGGTAAGTGTCAAATCCATAGACAGATAATTTGGTTATAAACATATCATTAAATATCACCTGTGCTTTATTGGTCATACTATTGGATATAAGCCCATGATTAGGTAGAATTTCATTCCCCATTTTATGACATTTCCCCCGGAATAGACCACATTCGATATAAGCCATCCTCCACTTTCGATATCTATTATAACACTTGCTTGAGAAATAAAAGATTTTTTTTAGTGCTTTCTACTGATTAAAATTAGAATGGGGAAGCTAAAACACCTGAGAGTTGGTCCAAAATTCTCAACCTTAATTATAAAATTTGATCCTCTGACCTCACTGTTCAGGATTATTAAGTCAAAAGATATGAATTGTTGAAAATAGCATGATTCACCGAATATGGATAACAAATTTTCAAATCCATTTCAGAAAATAACATGCAGTATTTGTGGAAAAAGTGAGAAAATGCCTGGCCAACTGCGTAGGAAGAGAGAGGAACAAAAACTGGCCCAGAGAAGTCCGTCTGAAGGTATGTACTTGTATAAAAACTGAGGATATGTACTTTAAATCAAACTTTATCTATTTTGCAACAATTACAAAACAAGTTTTATTAACTTACAACAAAGTTATTAATAAGGCCTAGGGTCACCTTCCCAACCATTCTGGTTTCCTCCCATGTTAAGACTCCCCATGCATTTCCGTCCGGGAAAACAAGTGATTGTTTGTTAATTAATAACCAAGAATCAGTGATTACCAGTAATCACTTTTGTTGTCCTGGCTAGAAACGCACAGGGGAGTCATAATGTGGAAGGAAACCAGAATGGTTTCTTTGTGAAAGGCGAATTTGCTATCCACTATACCACCCAATATGTACAAACCTAGTGTGGATATGCACGTGTATAGACACTGAGGTTATATACTGTTGGATTCTTTGTGTTTTGTAAGATTTTTTTTTAAACAGAGATAAGTGGTATTCCAGTTAAAACAAGGAAAGAAAAACGAAAGGAACTGAAACTTAGGAGCAAACAGAGAAAACGTGAAGAGATGAAAGACAAGGATTTGATTGGTGCAGCTTCATCATCTTTAGAACGGGCGTAAGTTTTAACATATTTCTGTGTTACAATAAAAACCTTTACAGATGTTGGTAAATTAGAATAACGATATTATTCAAATTTTTCATTGTTCTTTTGTAATGTGTGTCCTTAAGTAACAGATTCAGGGGGAAGGGAGCTAACTCCTAGATGGGTTCACCATCAAAGTCCTAGTAGGGGACGAGACACACATTAAAATGAGTTATCTCACTTGAATAACATTCTACAAAATAAGGTTGTTGTGCCTCTAGTTTTAAGTACAGTAATAAATTAATGTTTCTTATCTTTGTTGTGTTATTATTTCAGTTCTTTCACGTTTTTGGATGATAGCACATCTCCATCTTCTGGGAAGTCTTGGGGTGAGATGCAGAGAGGTGGATTGACCCCTACAACTAGTCAGGGAGTCTCCAAAGTCACAGGGTCCTCTAACAGTGACCAGAATTTTATCAAGGACACAGTGACCTCTAAAAGTATCCACAGCAAAAGCCCAATGACCTCTGAAATTATTCAAAGTTCTATCAAGGACAAAGTGACAAAGTCTGGACCAGTCAGTAGTAAAAGTGCCAAACGACTTAAGTCCAAAAGTTCACACCAGCTACTCGGCCAGATGCTGGCCCAGCAGAGTAAGGGCAGTCAAGGGGGCTCACTCAAAGACTTTTTATCAACTTTATAAATCGATGTATCTCCTAAATCAAGACCACTGGAATTTCTGTTCATGTTAGCTACAGTCAACTCCAGAAGACTGAAATTATGAACAAAAGAAAGTAGCTCGCCCCATTTTGTGATAACATTGACCTTGTGTAAAATAACATCTATTCATACTATCGATACATGTTTTTGACAATGCTATGCAAATTTAGCTTTGAAGAAGCTCACATGTTGTGTAAAATAGCAAGTAGTTACTTTTGTTATGTAAAACTGCTGTTGTTTGCCATGCTTTATAAAGCTGTGTAGCAGTTGGCCCGGTTATGTAAACAAGTCAACCACGCTCTGCATTTGATTTTTGTACTGCATTGGACTAACCAAAGGAATTGGAAGTAACCCAAGAGCCTGCATCTTCCAGAACAGTGTGCTCCGATTGCAAAATACAGGTTTATACACAGTGTAGCACTAGCAGTGGAGTGTTTATGTGTATCTGTATTATGTCCAATGACTAGTATGTGTACCAGATCAACCTTTCTCCCACCCCTCACAGGTGTGTCTCCCTTTTAAACCGGAAAAGATCAGCTTTTCACCTCCTAGGGGGGAGATAGCCTCGTGCAGAACAGTGATCCAAGTCATATACACCCATAACACTGTGAGGTCCCGTCATCGAACAGTAGCAAACCATAGAAGACAACTCTGGCTTTGCTGGAAAGACGTGCAATCAACGCTTATAGTTCACAATCACCGCTTGTCGGTGGATTTGTGAGTGAAACAGGATGGGAGAAAAACAATCATCCCCTACAATGAGGGTGTAACAGAGAAATCTCAAACCCTCCGGATGGTATTCTTGAATGTCTTGCCCTCGGGTAAGACAATCAAGAATATCATCCCTCGGGTTAGAGATTGCTCTGTCACACCCTCAAGGTAGGGGAAGATTCTATTGGTCAACTTGATTGCTATTTTAAACAATTTAGTGTACTTATACTTTACTGGTCACTTGTGTGACAGTCATTAAAACACCATACATAAATATTTCACTGGTTGTGCTATATGAACCCGAGTATATGAGCTAACGTCTACTAGCAGTGAACTTCGAGTCCAACTTGATGCAGCACTTCTTCCTTTATTGGTAGCAGTGAAACACAACCAGCTGTTATGCGCCTCTTTGTATTCACCCTCATCCCCAAAGACAAGAGCATCATAGTGCATCCTTCAAGATGACAGCCTCTTTAATTTGAACAATATTTCACTATCTAAAATATATGCCAATACTATGAAATTAAGAATAGTGAAAACTGTCAGCAGTGGTTGTTTACAAACTTGTGAGGATTTCGATTGTTTAGTTATATTATATACCGTAAACATATATATTTTAGCAGTAATCTTATTTCAGTGCAGTTCCTGTATAGTGGTTTTCTATGGCATTTTCAATTACACCTCGATTTATTGACAACATATTTCTGTGTCCCTTGTTTTCTCAAGAATTCCTTTATCCCTCAATTTTTCACCAAACCCCTTTATAACACCAACATCTCTCTCTGGACAAATAGTGGCAGTATAACAAGGTTTTATTGTTCATATCCAGTAAATCTTGCAATTGTGTCCTAGTGCTAGAAGTTAAAAATCTGGTTGAAAATTATCCCATCATTGTGTGGAGATCCCCTAGCTGTAACTTTGACACTGAATATATAACCTTGATCTTCAACTGGTCTCTAAGATTAATGTATGATTTGTGTAAAGTTTCACGAAATTCAGTTGAAATTTTTTAGTCCAGGTTTCCCAACATCATATAATAATCCTGTAGTCATCATTTTGACCTACCTTCAACCGATCTTGAGAGGTTTCAGGAAATTTGATAGCAAACTTATGTCAGGAACCAGCATACTGTATTTACTTCTATCATAATGTGAAGGTTCTGTAGATGGGGTCTTGTCTTTAACCTTCCAATGGATTCCAGATCGACATCAGGAAAACTTTTGTGAAGTTTTGTTGAAAACTTTGGTCAGGCACCTAGACAAGCCAAATGTACTATTTTCACACCATCATGTGACTTTGACATTCAAGTGGGCTCCAGTGACTGATGTCAGAAATGTTAATAAAATTTGATTGGAAACTCTAGTCCGTCACCTATCGTCAATCTACATGTCAGATTTCCCCATCATCATGTGAAGATACTGCAGCTATGACCATGACCTTGTCTTTCAACTTGGCCCCAGAGATTAACGACAGGATTATTTGTGTTAAGTCATCTAGTTTAACACTCCAGTCGGGAAGCTGCAGACAAGCTAAATTCGGACAGATATACAATCTGACAGGCCAGCATATTGTGAACACAAAGCAAGCCCTAAAATTGAAGTCTTTTGGTTTCATAAAAGTTCATTATGTCATAAATTTAGATGGAAAAACATTTCGGATAAATATTTTATAGAAGAGGGAAAACATTTCAGACCTCAATACTTTATAGAAGAGGGAAAAAATTTCAGACCTCAATACTTGATAGAAGAGGGAAAAACATTTCAGACCTCAATACTTTATAGAAGAGGGGAAAATTTTCCAGACCTCAATACTTTATAGAAGAGGGGAAAAATTTCAGACCTCAATACTTGATAGAAGAGAGGAAAAAAAATCAGACCTCAATACATTATTGAAGAGGGGAAAACATTTCAGACCTCAATACTTTATAGAAGAGGGAAAAACATTTCAGACCCCAATACTTTATAGAAGAGGGAAAAAAATTCAGACCTCAATACTTTATATAAGAGGGAAAAACACTTCAGACCTCAATACTTTATATAAGAGGGAAAAACATTTCAGGCCTCAATCCTTTATAGAAGAGGGAAAAACATTTCAGACCTCATTACTTGATAGAAGAGGGAAAACATTTCAGACCTCAATACTTTATAGAAGAGGGGGAAAAATTTCAGACCTCAATACTTGACAGAAGAGGGGAAAACATTTCAGACCTCAATACTTTATAGAAGAGGGGAAAACATTTCAGACCTCAATACTTTATTGGATTATTTTTTTTTAACTTTTTTTTATTATTTTAGAATATAAACTTCTCAAAATGTGTAGGCAAGCTTTGTTTCGCTGTGTCTGGCCTGTACTGAAGGTAAATTTTTCCTGGATTGAACAACAAAATACAGCAATTGTTTGTTCTATTTATTTACACACATGGATAACATCAATCGGTGACGTCATTGCATCAATATAATGTTCCCCTAAATCTGATCCTTCTGTTCTAGCACAAACTTGCATTTGATGCCCCAATGTAGGGTGCCAGAATGAATCACTTGGAATGAGATGAAAACGAGTATGTACAGACTATAACTGGTCTGCGGACACCGAGTCATGATGGTCAAAATAAAAATTGTCTACCATAGAAATTGTTACTAAAATAAACGAGCAAACACTAGACTTGTATTAAGACAATATTATTCATAAGATAAGGAAACTAAACAATGCAACATACAGCATCTAAAACTCAAGAAAAAACCCAACTGTTTTTGATATTTATAGTAAGAAATGATGGGAACAAATGTGAAAATGAATTGCCATAGTTAAAATGAGGACAGTAGTATGACATCTGGAGAACTGCCTGATAAGCTATGTAACTCTACACGAGAACCGGTACTGGTATCCTGTGGAAAGCCGAGTCCATGTAAATTACACCAGTACATATTTTCTGTGTAAATTGGCAGCTTTGTAAGTTCTGGTCAGTCTCCGGATCAATCATGGGAACGACTTCTTGATCTATGGGGGGTCCTGGACCTTCGGATTGGGCTCCTTGTTCTGTGAATGAAAAACACAACCGTGATTTATTAAATAAATACAAGTACGAAGACAACAATATTATGATTGTACAGTTTAGCCAGGAACACTGCAGGTGCATCACTGATGTAATCATCCCATCAGCTTAATTCCTTTTCAATGTAGACATGGATCTGTGAACTAGGATAATGGTTTTGTATTGACCAAAATGAAACGGAATCACAACTGATGTACTAGTAATAAATATAAACTCCATAATAACACTAGGATCATGTACATGTGTGGGCATGCTCTTCAGACTAACATCCAAGCAATGCAAGAACAGCAGAACATTAAATATTTTAACTTTATATTTACTCAACCTATATACCATCAGGCCACCTGATTATCGAACATAAGGTGGACCATAATCTTGAGCCAATAGCTCAAACTTCCCTTTGTACATGATCCTATGACAATGTTCCCTGTTTTACGACTCCTGGTTGTAACAGATTAAACGAGAGCGGTGTGTACCTGCTTCTAGTCATGCTGCGCTTCTTGTACTTTGGTGAACGGCTGCGTGATGGGCTCCTCGTGTAACTCCTACTCCGCTTACCCCTTGGACTCCTTGATCTCGACCGTGACCTTGACCTATACAAATCAACAACTGTCTCATTACTCTGATCAATATGTAGGAATTCACTCGATATTAGTCATGATCATGCTTTGACATGACAAAATCTTAAAACATCTTCCTTTGTAAAGGAAACAACTTAAACATCTAACAACCATCACTGGAAAGCTAGAAAATATTTGAAAATTACCTGGGTAGTACACACGGCATCTAGTTTCGGGAAAAGATAGAAAGGAATTCACATTTATTATCAAAATGTGAGTGTGTAATTGTAATTCTGTCACAAAATAACTTACAGATTCAATTGAACAGATAGGCAAAAATTATTAAGAGAAATTACATACAAAAATATTTCAAATAAACTACTTTTTTTCTCAAATTAAATTAAGGTTCAACATTTCACCTAACCAGGTAGCCTTGCTTAAACGTTATTTTAATATATATAGCGTACAAATCATATACCTACCTAATTATAAGACAATTTGTTTGAACAAAGTATAGAATATCATTCTGTTATCAGTTCTGTAAAAGAACCTTTTCTTGTCTTTTTATTTGATAAACACCAATTTTGTAAAGGATTTACCTTCAATGATTTATAAATATGAATGTAAAATCAGAATTTAATTTTCATTTCTTGCTAGCAGGGTAAAATAATGAGTTTAGTAAGAAAAATATCTTTACTGTATTTAAGTACATAGTAACTCCTATTTTCACTTTTACATATTGCTTTTCATTGAAACCATTTTAGAGTGCAAAATGTATTCAGCAGGGATTTGGGTGTTATGTTTGAGATGGTGTGAGATTGATTATCGGTAGTAGATGAAGGGAGATCTAAAAGGGATGATCAAGAGGTACTAGTCCTCCCTTATACACAGAGAGAAGTGACACCACCAGCATGGTGATTTTATCACCGAACAAGTGGAAGACCTGAGAAACAGCGGCCAAACTCACTCTGGGACGAAAGATTTCAGTGTGAGGTGCTCTCAAACTCTGGGATGAAAGATTTCATTGTGGGACGCAATCTTGATCTCTGGGATGAAAGAGTTCATTGTGTGATGAACTCTAGATCTCAATCTCTGGGACGAAATATTTCATTTTGTGACAATCTCAATCTCGCTGCTAAGCTGGGAAGAAGAATCTATCATTTTGGATGTGTTGGTCGAGAATTCTAATTTCAATATCTGACGCAGCGTTGGCCGACTCTCTTTCTCACAGTAGAAGAAGGGAGAATATCAATCGAAATCGTGCCGAAATATCTGATGACGGAAATCGTGACGCAATATCTGATGACGGCCGAGTCGGATGGTTGTTGGTCATCAACATGAATGTGTTTGGCTAGTAGATCTATCTGAGTTAGGGGTGCAGCACAGAGGTGATGCAATCTATGTTGTACCCAGTTGCAATCTAGAGCTCTGCGTGTGTTGATCATAGAAGTGGATATGGTCTGCAAAGCATGTACAGGGATCAAATCAGTTTGGTTTGAAATCAAGTCATGCATAACACACGCATGAACATATACATAACATTTGCAGAAATGAAACTTCTTGTTTGAAAAGAAAAAAACCCCAATTTATTGAATTGTTTCAATAAAATGTCTTTTGCTAAATAAAAAAGCCTCTATTCAAACGATAATTTTTGTTTTAGAATACTTTTTTTAATTGATAGAGATATATTGTTAAAACCTATTTCATGACCTTGAGATCAAAAGTCAGAAAAAATGTAGCTGACATAATAGGAATTTCTTTTATCAAATGTTTACTGACTGGAAAAGCGAGAGAAATATTTAATCAGTACAGTTAGGGTTAAGCGCATTGCTGATCAGTATATGGAAACATGGATCAAGTATACAGGCAGTCACACAACAAATTAGCAAAGAACCAGTTTTAATAAATCCGACTGTGATTTTCTTAGTCATGTTTGATTTTACTAGTATTGTATATTCAAGTAAACATGTTTTATAAGACAAAAAAAAAACCCAGGAGAAACCAATTCTAAAATTTCAAGACAATACTAGAAAGCTTCCAGAACATTTCAAATCCATACCAGTCATGATCAGGAAAGTACATGAAAACAAAAACTGTTATAAGAGAACAGCTTGCCTATTTGAAGAATATAGGAAAAAATAGTATAATGGTTATACCTGTTTAACAACAATTTGATCCTTCAGGAATTTGTTCAAAAGTCCACAATTCTAGTAGAAATATAGATTAAATAGTTGTTTTGAATATTGTCACCTAGAGATTTTGGCAAAAAAGCAAGGGAAAAAAGGAGCAGATTTTTAGTGATAATTACGAGGTTTTGCAGACAAAATCTATTGAAGTGCAAAACAAATATAAAAACTGCACTGCATCAATATTTGGCCCATAGCTATAGAATTTGAAAGAAAAAAAGTTGGAGTTTATTTTTTGACTTAACTGCATCATTTTATTGGACCCAAGGGAACATCCATGCCAAAAATCAGCATTTCATTTCAAATACTGAGGGTCAAATTGATGAATTTAAATATAAATCTCCACCAGCTATTGCCCCATTCTTCAAATAGGCGAGCTAATATATGTTTGAATTGTCAAAACAGTATGCTTGTTTTTCATTCACTTAAACCATAAATCAACATTGCTGATCTATATTAAAAGTTTAATATTGATTATAATGTTATGTTTTAATCCATAAACAGGCTGTGTTACTAGAGAAGAAGAATCAGAATACATTAACTGTTTTATTATCAATGACAAGCTAAAAATAATTGCAATACAGTCACTATTAAGACCAGTTTGTCGATAGACCTACCTTGATCGCCTGGATGATCGTCTGGAGGAACTCGGCCGTCTGCTACCGTTCACCTTGGGACAGTCATAGGCATAATGGCCTCGGTCCCCACATTCGTAGCATTTGTCTTCGGGGTGGAATGGGCGGCGGCTCCGTGGTGGACCTCTAGATGCTCGAAGCCAAGGTTTTGGACGTACTTTCCCAGTAGAATGTTCTACACGAACCCGACTTCCACAGATATTCCTACAAACACAACAAAAAATGTTATTGTAATGTCTCCTGAAGAACAAAGTTCCAGTAACACTATCATAAGGAGACTCCAGATTCTACTGCCCTTAATAAAGCAGTGGTGAACAGGTCGGAATGGTTTAACTGGACTGATTTTTCCAGATTTAATGCTTGTCAAAGATAAATTTATATCAGATACCTAAAGGTAAAGTCCACCAATATGGAATCACATTGATCCTATAATTTTAACACAACATTCTAGATTAACTGCAGCAATCTAAATCAATTTCATCCCATGAAAACTTAAGCATGATTTCAAAATAATTTTCAGGGGTGGGGAAAACTACTTGGGTACTTGTCTGCCAGGCAAAGGGCCATCCGCCATGCATACACTCATCCAGATTGCAATATCACTTTTTTTTAGATATTATCACTGAATTTTGGAATGTTTTTATATAATCATCTTGAACTGCAGAAATCAGATCCAGTTGCATCAAAATAGGAAACGTAATATTATATGGCTTCTGCTAGTGCCAGTCTGTAAACGTAATAACCCGTCGACATCCTTGTTTGATGACTCTGCACAATGTTTTTTTACTTGGCAGATTCGCTCTCTAAGAAAAGGATGTTTCGGTACTCAGAATTTTTTTTGTACACAAGAAAAATGCTGAAAAATGCTGTAAAATCACAAAATATGAAATCATTGATGAATTGAAACACAAGTCCAACAGCAGAAATGTTTGTCAATGTATTAAAACAACTTTTGGGAAGTACCGAAAGAGATTGGTATCAAAGTAACTAGTACTGAAATGTCTATACCACTTCACTGATAAGCAGCCAGTTGGAACTCATTTAATACACTGCATAACGATTTTGCCTTGCTATGTCATAAATAACCACAAATTTTAAAACAGTACAGACTTTCATATGAAGTCTCCTGAAATAATTCATTCCATGGTTTTCTTTTATGACCTTCTAAAAATATAAGCATCTGCAAAAATGTTCGTTTTGTGCCATTTTCATTTTAATCTCACTCCAGTATCATGTCAGATCTTGGATGCTTTAGTATTTTTTCATGTTTAGGCTTGTGTGCAGCTGAAAACGAAAGAGGTAAATTCCTGGAAAGGTGTTTGATTTCTATTCTTGGAAATGAAAATGACAAATGATCAGTTAAAAATCACATTTTATAAGTGCCTATTTACTTTATCATTTTTCCACACCCATATGACGAACAAGAAGCAATGTAAACTTCACTCGCCAAACAGTGAAAACCACTTGTCTGGACTAGCTTACAAGTGGTTTTGCCCGCCCCTGACTTTCGGTTTTTCCTACCTAACATGGTTCAACACAATGTATACGTACGTGCCGTCCATCCCTCGCACTGCATCATCTGCATCCCTGGGGTCTTCAAACTCAATAAAGGCAAAGCCAGCAGGGTTCCTAGCTACCCAAACATTCCTCAATGGTCCATAGTAACTGAAGGCTCTCTCAAGCTCCTTCTCAGATGCATCTCTAGAGATGTCTCCTACGTAAACTTTTGAGTCAACGCTGGTGGGTCGTGACATCTGGAAAAGTAGAAGATTGCAGCATATGACATTCGAGAGTATTCATGATCGCTAATAGCTACATAACAAATTCTCAGATCCCTGTTCTTTTATGCATAAAATCATAAATCAAATGAACATGCAACTTACGTTTTGACAATTCATTAGTACATGTTTCTTGACTTTAATTTAAATGAATGTCGCTTAAAAGTATTAATCACATCCTGGTCTGGAAGACTCAAAAAATTTCAAACCCAAATGAAAAAGTTATAATGTAGTCTTATCAATATGCATATGGAGCAGAAGAAATGTTATGGCGGTAAGTTTATATAAGTATTATCACAGATTTAGATTAGTACTAGTCCGTAGCCACTAGTGTTATGACATCAATTGAATCAAACATTTTTCTTTTGTTAATTGCCCCACTTTCACATCATGTATTCTTTTGATATAGAGCAAATGCCCCTATTATCATCAATGCATGAAATATCACTGTGTATACAAAACTGGTTCCCCTTCACCCAAGCCAAGGCCCGAATTGGCAAGGGTGCTTTATACCAAATTGGACAAACTCATGTCATTCCTACAGAAGAAGAGGGATTTTGGAGAATTTTAATGGGCCGCCCATTTCGTAATTTAACTCATTCACCCCCTGAAGACACATTTGAACTCTTCTAAGCCAATGGTTCGAATAGTTCATTATGAAATCTCAGGGGTGAATGAGTTAACTACGTTTAAGAGTATTTCAATCAATACCGGATAGGAGAAGACTTACAATAGGCTAAGCCTGTTGTCTTATCCAATTGTGCAATGTTTTGCCCAATAAAATTTGTTGAAATAAAAAAGGAGTATTTCAGATTTTTTGTTGGGGGGCTGGGGAGCGAAGTAGAAAACAAACATTGTTAGGAATCCTCTGAACTGGCACGCCACCGATTTTCATACATATTGATACTATGCTGTGAAATATTAATTAGTACATGTTTCTTTTTTCAAAGGAACGTCGAATAACAGCATAAATCAAATGAACAAGCAACTTACGTTCTGATGATCTAGAAATATGGCCGCATGTATTCTAAATAAATTGTCGTTCCCAGGATCCTCGTGATTACAAAGCCTTTACACGACCTTTTCATCAAGGCAGGGAGCGAGGATAGCAAGCCTCGTTTTCAAAAAAATGCGGTCACTGTTATTGTTTTTTTTATTAAAACAAATGTTGGGGGATTATTTTTCACCAAGTGAGACATATTCATAACATTTCTGTTCAAATTGTAATATTTTCAAGTATTCTTTGTAAATATATTTTAATGTAACAAGTCTCGTTGTTTCGGTATCTGGTCAACGTCCGACTAACGTTTATTTCAGAACGTGTCACTTCAGCATAGATTAAAGCGTTGCAAGTGATATCGATTTTCCACAACGAGAGGTGGCAGGTAACATTTGTAAAACTCCTCTATCTGTTCAATTATTAGTACATAGCACCTTTATGCGTTAAGTTGCAACCTTTAATTACCATGTTAGCGCCATACAACAATCTATGCAATAGGAAATATGACTCCCTATTTCCTTACAGATCGCATACAAGTCTTGTGAAGCCTACCACATTTCTCGGTACAATGCGTGGTGGCTGATAATCTTGCGCACCTAAGAAATAGGCCTAACGTTCTATTTGGAAAATTAATACGGAAGGATTTTTAAAAAAAAAACCTTAACCAGATGAAAGAGAAACTTTTACTCTGTCCAGTGGCGGATCCAGAGGTTCTTTTTGGGCTTCAGGAAACCCCCACCCTGATAATTTTCTTTAAAAATTATGTATTTTCACAATTTTCCTCAATTTTCCTCCACATGGGACCCCCCTGGAAATTTGACCCCCCCCCCCCCCAAAATAGATAGCTAAATTTTTCGTTGTAATATTACGATTTCGATTAAAAAGCGTTCTAAATTGCCAACAAAAATGTACTTGCCCTGTGTCCTGGCTAATTTTAAAACAAATTGATGTGGCGGAGATAGTCAGCACTACAGGATCTGCACGTTAATATAGAATTGGTGTGCACTTATGTTAATATTTTCTTGTATTTTTGGATTATGTAACATTAAAAAAAAGATACCGAACATGAGCAAGGGCACTATCGTAACAGGGGATAGAGAAATGCAGCAGCCAGACCAGGGTTCAAACTTAAGACCCTCTGAACTCTAGATGGACGCTCTACCAAATGAGCTATCTGAACGCCAACAATCGACCTCATCCAGTTCCGCTACATATGCATTCCCCCCTCCTTTTTCAAGTCTTCGCCCCAAAGACAACACTATTTACAACTCAGATTCAGATATCCCCTTGCTATTAGCATTCAGCCAGTGCTTGAAACAAGGGTTGGCAAGCTTGCCAATTTTTCAACAGGAGAAAGAGAAATGCTTGCCCAGGGTTCGAATCTGGGACCCTTGGAGGGAAATCTTAAGACGGATGCCCTACCAGTTGATCAGGTCGCTGACGATCGACCCAGTCCAGTTTGGCTACACTAGAACTACTAATAATATGGCCATCAGATATCTATGTACAAGATTAGTTACTGTGTGCAAGGTTAATTTTAATATCCCCCCGCTTTCACCGAAACGGGGGATATTAATTCAGATTTGTCTGTCTGTCACACTTTGTTTCCGTGCAATATAACTACAACAAATATTATCCGATTTTCTTCAAACTTGGTCACAGGGTTAAATGCCTTAAGGGCTCGGCCAAGTACGGTGACCACTTTCAGCAGACCCCATTTGGTGGAGTTATGACTCTTTGAATAACAAAAAATGTAATTATCTGCAGCGCCTCGTCTCCGTGCAATAACTACAACAAATGTTAACCGATTTTCTTCAAACTTGGTCACAGGCTTAAATGCCTTAAGTGCTCAGGCAAGTTCGGTGACCACTTTCAGCAGACCCCATTTGTTAGAGTTATGGCCCCTTGAATAACCAAAAACTTAATTATCTGCTTGGTTTTGTTTCTGTGCAATAACTACAACAAATGTTAACCGATTTTCTTCAAACTTAGTTCGATTTTGATGAAAATTGGTTGGTATATAGGGATATTAGGGGACTGCGAACATAACCGCATTACACAGATCATAACGGATTTGATCATTCAGTCGAGGTGAATTTTCACGTAAAAACTTTCCTGATGACTATAATAGAGTTACATTTTCATTACTTAATATTTAATAACTAGACATGTTGTCCTTCATAATATAGGCTGGTGAAATTGGTTCATATTATTATTAATCACATTTACTTAGGGGAGTCTTGGTTCCTGGGAACTCCCAGTGCTTTACACTATAAAACTGACCACCTGGCAAATAAGGAGCTCTTTAATGGTCAAAAGTCGTCTGCTTTCTTGTGTATTTAAATTTCATACTTTACAGCGAAGTCATGTGGGTTTTTTTCAGAGTTTGCATCCACCATGGGAAGGTCAAGATCCCGCAGCAGAAGTTACGGCCGTGGCCGAAGGAGCAGGAGTAATAGTTATGACAGTCGCAGCCCGTCTCCTGAGGACGGCTTCCGTGTCCATGTATCAGACCTGGGCATTGAGCCGTCCAAACGGGAAATAGAACGAAGTTTTGATAAGTTCGGTCCTATCATGGAGGTATGGGTGGCCAGAAATCCTCCCTGTTTTGCATTTATAGTTTACAGGTACAAGGAGGATGCAGAAAGAGCCATACGGGAAATGGACGGCAAGTAAGTTGCATTCAATGGTCTTTAGCTTACCCTAATACTAGAATAAGCCCTGCTTTAAAAAGTTTTTTTTTTTTAACGAAGATAAAAAAAACTACGGAGTAGAACATTACCATTGAGAATATGGAGAAGAAAAACTATTGTAAAATGGCATAATTTGAAATATTTTTGAACATTTAAGGAAGATCTAGAAATTAAATTCAAGGGATATGTTTTTATAAATAAAATAGGAAAACGAAAGACTAGCGCTGGCTTGATATAATACTCAATAACTTCCTTAACCTGAAAAAAGTTTAGACTGCATTATTTTAATAAGAAAAACATACTTTAGCCTCCATCATTTTAATAAGAAAAACATATATATACAATTTGGTTTGTTTAAAAGTTTTCTGGGTATTTACATTATTGTAGAACAATGTCTGGAGGACGGGTACGCTGTTCGTTTGCACGTCCGCGAACCCGTGGCAGACGAAGCCGTGGCTTTGACCCAAATTTGAGGTGTTACACATGCGGAGAGAAGGGCCACTTCTCACGAGATTGTATAGAAATATGGAGACAACGGCGACGTAACAACAGCAGGTAAAAAAACGCATGCAGACACACTTGCCTAACTCGGGGTGTGTCTGACATGACAAACATTTTAAGCAGGTATCGAAGTATAGTGAAGGATGTTAACCCGTTCATCACTGTAGACCATAATGGACTCATCCTGATCAATGCATGGTAGAGTCTACTAAAGTTACATAGGGGTGAAAGGGTTGAACAGAATCAGCCAAACCTATAGATATTGATACAACTCGTCTTCTTTGTTCGTATTTAACCGTTCCATACAACTCTCTTCAGGGATTAGAATTCACAGGACTGACACACAAGGTGTTTAATTCCTGTGAAAGCCTCGAGAAAGAATCGCAGTTAATTGAATTCACTGATAGCCAGCTGTCGAAAATAAAACTCATTGAATACTTTTTGTATAGATGCTTTGCGGCATTTATACATGGGTTAAAGTTTGAAAAATAGACATCAATTGCTATTTTCCTGTAGCATGATACTCTCAGGTTTCTGCATATGTACTAACAATATTAACATTTGTGTTCCCTGTCCTTCTGTATCCTTCCAGGTTCTATACAATAGGTCTAAAATGGTTATGGATGTCTTTTCACAAAACCTTGTCAATGTGCGTGCCATCATAATACATTTAAGTCAATGATTAACAAATTTTTGGTACTTAAAAAATCTTGAATGAGATTTTGAACACTTGAGCTATTATTTTTGGTTGATGGATTTTCAGCAATATGTATATGTGCCTTGTTTATCCTGCAATAAGACCGTTCCTGGTAATAAGCCCATCCATATTTTTTCCAGTTCAGTATTAATGTCAACAAACGCTTTTTATGGTCCATAAGGCATCAACTCATTCACCCCTGAAATTTCATTATAAGCCATTCCAATGTTTGAATTGGAAGGGTTCAAATGTGTCTTCAGGGGTGAAAAAGTTAATAATACCCCCCCCCCCCCCCCCTCGCCCCAAATTAAGTTGGAGAATATGTGTTGGTGTTGGTCCCCTTGGTTTATATTATTGCAGCTGGGTAAATACGGTATATTAAGAATGCTGTGAATTTTCGCTGAAAGCCATCTCATCAACAGTGTAATGCATAACTTCCAAAGCCGACATCTAGTTTTGCATAAAGATGTGTATCAAAACGCAACAGCTTTATCCACACCATCAGGTGAGATACAAACTCCAGTTGTAGAAAACTAAATGTTAGAAATCTGATGGCGAATCACATATATGTATTTACTTCCACGTGTAATGATCTCCTATGTTTACAGTGATCTAGTTGGTCTAATCAGCTATGCAAAATTCCCAGATAAGCTGTGTTTGCTTAAATTTTACTTTTTGAAAAGCGCATAGAAATTATTAATTCAATGTATAGACACCCCACATAGGAAATATCTAGACTATACTCTTGTGTTAGTCTGATCACTTATCATCTTTAAATTGGTGCCTTGAGAGACATGATAGCTAGATAGGAGAAATTTCTTCTGTTTTGACTTTACTATTTTTCTCAAAGTCTGCTGTTTCCCTCCTGGGACGTGTTGTCTTATGCTGGTCACTTTCCTCTTATCTGGGTGGTGTCCATCTGAGGACTGCCCTTTGAAATATGCTTTTATGACACATCCCTAATAGGTGTCTTTAAGACACCTGACCCTTCACTGGCAGTGATGATGCGACTGCTAGTCTTTCTGTTGAGGAAAGATGCCACAGATATTGACATCATTTTCTACATACCTTGAATATAAGGGCATGGAGTAGAGCATCTGTCTGTCAGTGTTTGTCCTTCAGTCTGTCTGTCCACACTTTGGTTTCCGCAATATAAGCTTGCTTGAATATTATTCGATTTTGATGAATCTTGCTTTAAGCATGTATAGTATTCCGTCTTTGCGTATTGCAGAGTTATCTTCTCTTGGGAGCAGGTATTGATTGTTACGTCACTTGTTTGTGAGAGAAACGTCATCAATTTTTGAGAAAACGACGTAGTTTTCTCACACAGACCAATGCCGTAACAATCAATACCTGCTCCCAAGAGAAAATAACTCTGCAATACGCAAAGACGGAATATACAAAGACTTAAGTTAAGTTTGAATATGAGCGAAACTCTGTGCCAATTTTCATATCATACCAAGACAAAGGCCTAGTTGGAAATTGAACAAAATGTATGCATGGAATATTAATTGGAAGGGTGTGTATTGTTCTGCCCCTGTGATACTGTTGTTTTTGTTTTATCTTATACATATGATATACCAGCACTGGTACAATCTTTTACAGGAATTCATTCTGACACCAACATATGGGAAAAAAATAAGAACAGCTGAAGATTTGTGGTAAAAATATTGAAATTTTTCACATTTGTAACAAATCGTGTACATTTTTTTGTACAAAATTGAACAGAAGGAATAGAATACAGAATGTACTCTTACTATCAAAATCTTATCTGGGACACTGGAACACATTTACTAACAGTTCCTGACAACAATTCTCCCACACACTCTATCATGGAGTTTGGTACATACTTATAGTACTCATATAGATTCTAGATCACATGCTGTAAACAAAGCTTCAAGACATCTTTTTTAAATACGGAGAATTCACTCTTTATTTGCCAGTTGAATTACGTTTTTGGTTGCATATATACTTGCAAACCATTTGAAACTTTCTTTGGGGAGATACCGCATGCTCAAAATTAAAACTTTAGCAAAATGTGTGTATATACCCCCCCACCCACCCCACCCCCCAAGGAAAAAAATATGCTTGCACATGGCATCTTTTGAGCTGTTCTTTCAGATGTGGTTATTAGGTATTTAAAATTCTAGAATTTAGGAATTTACTGGCTGAAAATGTTCAATTAATATAAGGGTCCAGAATTGGAAGTCTTCCCCCAAAATATGGAATGTTGGCAGATATATGTGGTTGTTTGCAGGTGTTAGGCTAAAGACAACAATTGATCGCCTGTAGTCAGACAGCTTGTGTACCAGGAGAGAAGCTTTTTATCAATTAACAGTACCACAGTCACTGTGTAATCAATTATAACTGACAAGTCGTCTTGCCTTGTGAACATTAATTTGTTACAGTGAATGTCAGGTGGAGTTGATTGATCGATGACCTTAGTCCTTTTCTTTCACAGCATCTCAACGATGTACAACGGGGATATACTGCAATGTTTTTGTTCAATATGTTAAGAAATCTGGTTTCAAGTTTTATACACGGATGTTGCTGCTGCAAGATGTCAATAACACAATGGGCTAGAAACTCTCCATGTGTGTGTTGTTCAGATGTAATGGTTCCTTATATATAATTACAGTATATGATAAACAGCGCCTCACTTATGTTTTCTGGAGTATGTCATCACGAAATCGAAAGCGACATTTTGTGGATGAAGTAGCTGCAAGTTTGATCTTTTGATGTGCATCAACAAAAATCATGCAGCAGCATAAGAGTAAAATTGGTCGTCTTTTGGGGTTGTGTGTTGCCCCTCTGTTCTCTTCAAAGGACAGCTAGTATCAGCCTGGTGGTCATTTTTTTTACCTGAAACAAATCAAAATGCTTTATACCATGTGCCTTAGATTTTGTCATGACATATTGCCACATATCCCAAGATTGCAGTGAGGGTAACCATTAGCATTTTAAGGATGAGTGTACATGTATGTGTCTTTGACATCATCTGCATGCGATTCATTCCCTGGCATGTTAAGCTAGTTTTAATTTTGTTCATTTTCACGTGTATCTGTGTGAATCAGAATAATGCTTATATGTAGCGATCAGGTTAGATAACAGTCTGGTTATGCCTTGATCATGATGAGCCATCAATTTCATTTGACCCTTGACCCTGGGTGGTCATGACGGAATGCATCGCATCGTCTGGGATGACAATGTGGAAGGAATTTACTAACTAGTTTTGACACGATTGTTTTGTTTAGTCACTATTCGTTTAATTAATCCTATTATTAAGGCCAAATAAAAAAGTTGTTTGTTTCCAGTTACCCTATACATATATCTACCTACCCTAATTGTTGTGCCTACCCTAAAATAAAAGTTGGCAGTTTTTAAAGGAAACACTGTTCAAGTCAGATTTTTCCCCTGTATAAATATTATAAAAAAAAAAAAAAAAAAAATTATTACCTACCTACCTACCCTTATATTTCAGATAAGTAACAGGAAACAAACAATTTTTTTTGGCCTCGTAGCACTAATTTGGAGCTGTCGTTGTACTGCACATATTCATACCTAGGTAGAAGTGACACATTTGGATTACCTCCCTTACTTCTATGTTATCAGCTTTTTCTTTTTAAGCTGTAGCATCTTCTAACGAGTGGAATCTGTTAGTTCAAAGCAATAATTGAGATCTAGCAAAAGTGTTACCATTTCAAGCTGACACATGTTCGTGCTCAAATGTATTTCATAGTCCCTATTGCACTTTAACCCTTTCAACACTGTAGACCGTAAATTATATAGGATTTTTAATGAACTGTTTCTATGGATTAAATATTTTTTTCCGGAATGTTCTTTGAAAAATCCTAAATGTTATGTTTTTGTCCTAACATATTTTTTTCTGAATTTTTTCTTTTTCCAAACTTTTTCATATAAACATGTTGGTAGGTTGTGATTAATTTTCCTTGGCAGTGAACCATATCATAGAGTCTTTGAAGAGGGTATTTAATCAGATCAGGGATGTAAAACTGATTTCTGAAATAAATGCCCAAGACAAATATGCCTCAGAAATCCACTTCCTAGATAATGTTTTTAATGTAAACTGCTTTTTCCAAGGGCAACTTGGCAAGTGTGTCCAAATTTTGTACTTTTGAAGACCTTTGACATGGTTGTTCTAGGCATTACGCAAGTGGAGTTTTACATCCCTGTAGATAGTCTCCCTTTGTTGTACTGCTGTGAACTAATAATGTAGATGTAGTCTGTGTTATGTATCACTATAACAACACTTTTAGTTTTGTATCTGAGAGGTCATGCTATAAAATTGTATAGCATATATTCATATTGTCAGTCGAACCTGTTGATTCTGATATATTGTCGATGTCGATAAAAAAAGTCTAACATTAAATACCCAGAACTATTACGAAAGTAGTTCTCAAATAGTATCCACTAGATTATTAAAGATTAAAAGTGTTTGCAGACTGTCACACATATACATGTAGGTTCAGGTGAAGCAATGCAAGCTTGGATTAATTTCTGGTAGATATAGTGAATTTGAGACCACACAACCATTAGCCATCACATTCACGTCTGTAGCATCAAAAAAAAGCTATTTGAGAGAGGAAAATGAGGCCACTCGTTTGAGAAAGAATGCTAATTTTTAGCTAAACTGGCCCAAAGGGCTAAGTAAGCTGATGTGGTGACGCTTCGTCTGTTCGTCGCTCCATCTGCCGTCAAGTTTTTTTGAACTAGCCAAGAACAGCTGAAATGGATTCGACTGAATTTGGCAGATCATCCTTGGGTCAAGGGAATTAAAATGTAAATGAATGTCCCCCCTTTTCTACTTCTTATTTAATTTTTATTTTATTTTTAAAAAGTGAAAAGATGTATACATACAGATGGTCATCTCTTGAGTCCTGACCAAGTGTATGGTTATTTTTTGGACAAAATCACTATCAAAGATTATGGCCAAGAAATTCTTGACTTCTTTTCAACTTTCATGAGGCCAATGGTAGCCAAACTTGATCAAAGTTATTCTCTCCTGGTCCTGAACAAAATGTCCTCTAATTAGCTGAGACAGGATTTACTGATTAATTATCAATCCACCAGGTCAATTTTGACCAAATGTTCAAAACATTCCTGTCATTCCCCTTACCAAGTACATGTATTGTAATTTTGATTTTTTGGCTCAATCAGAAATATGACCTGTCCACCATGATCACGAGTAAACAAAATTGTTTAACTTCTTGTTTAGTTCAGATAAAAGAAACAGGCCTTATTTATTTACCCCTTGTTTACCTGCTCTTGAATGTTTACCTATGGTAATATAAGCGGGCATAGATTATCACATATAAAGTTTCGCCAAACAGCTGAAGCTTTGTTTGAAGGTCAGATGTGTGTGATCATGGCTTGATGTACATCAATTAGCTGAACTAAATATTGCAGACGTACATGCTTTTACATTTACCTAAATTCACATCTGTTTGGTAGTAAAATGAAAGTCATGTTTGTTGTACAGCCTGATACAATTGCATTTTTAAGAAAATTGCTGAATTCGCATGCTCCCATCTGTTATCGTGTGCATGATACTATGGTTTTGAGAGCGAAGTACAAGTGTGAAATACCATATATGGCACACTACGACCCTTTCCATGCAAAGTGTGTGATAGCTGTTCATTTCTGTGAATTTAGTAACAGCACATGATAACATGTTAAATACAGAAGCCAATGGCTCTCGATCAGTTCATTTAAATAAATATGAGCTACACAGTCATATATATGTTATAAGTTATCATCGATAAGCCACGTCCAGTAATAAGCCCACCCCCCGTTACTTGGAGAAGTGCTTTATACTTGCTTTTTAAGCCCTGAAATTGCTGATCCATCTTGATGTTTCCAAACAAAACTTGGATTCTCTAGATTCAATCAAATTCAAACTTCATACAGAGCTTCCTTATCAAAGCACCTGCTCGAAACTGCTTTTCAGTTCAAAAGGTCAAATGTAAAACAGAAAAATCTATTTCTGCGAAATAGCCTTGAGTTCCCTCCCTTGAGACATTTTATCTCATTCTCCAACTGGGACTTCCACCCAGAAAACTTGTTGGTATTGCTATTCAGGTAAAAATCTGTAAAGTTAACTGCTACTAGCTATATAGTATAGTTTCAGCCCAATATGTTTTTGTTCCTTTGATTCAGTTGAACTCGAACCCTTTCACCCCTATGTAACTTTAGTAGACTCTATCATGCATTGCTATGGATGAGTCCATTGTGGTCTACAGTGGTGAAAGGGTTAAGCTTCAAAATGCACTTCCTCGTTACTAGAGTTTAGACATGTCGGGCATGTATCCACCTATAATGTCCAACAAAAAACTGGAAGCCAGGGGATACACTATTGAATATCAATACCTTCTTGTAAACATATTTTATGAATGTGTGATGAATGCAGATCCACGGATATGTTTAATAATTACATATGTAGTTTTTTTTCCCCTTTTATTTTGAACATAACTGTTGTTTTAACTTTTTTCCCGTTTGTTTGCACTTTATCTGAACAGAAATGTTCGCTTCAGTCTGTTGTGTATGGATTGAAATTATTTATACATAAGAAGACAATTAAAAACCGATTCCTGTACAAAACAGATTTATTTCAGTGTTCTACTCATGAATACAAATTTCAATACCAGACTTACAGACTAGTGCGCATGCATGCTCATGGATTTTGCGTCCTTTCCATAGATCTCTGCGTCTTTTCCATAGATCTCAACAATTACTTTGGACTGAAATGATGAAGTAATATTTTCAAATTTAATGTATTATTGTATGGTAATTGTACCTAGTATACAATACAAAGTACAGTGTAACTTAACTCATTCACCCCTGAAGACACATTTGAACTATTCTAGTTCAAAGGGTGGAATAGTCCATATTGAAATTTCAGGGGTGAATGTTTTAAAGTCTTTTTTTACCAGGTATACACAATAGTGAAGCGTTTTTAAAGAAGTGGTAAACCAACGTCTATTCCTGCACCATAAATAAACCAACGGAGGTGCCTTTAAACTAATTTTGCACAGTGAACATAAGTTCTCTTAAGGAGCTTGTATGGAGAAACATTTATTTCCATTTTATGGATTGCGTTGTAGTGTATTTACGATTAGACCAAGTATCTTGTATAAAACAAATACACCTACCTTGTGTTCAGTAGACAGACCTACATTTTAATATATAGACCATCTTATACTGCTTGTGTAGACATATTACCTATGTTTGTTTTGTATTAAACAACGGGAAGCCATCTTCCTGACTAATTTAAACGCTTTTCACACAGTCATGGTAAATTGAATGAGATCGAGTGCTCACAAGGTGTGATGAGGTCGTATGGTGAAGGATAAAAATTGAATAATGAACCCTGGGTTGTGATTGGTTGTCTCCGTATTGGTGGAGCCCTGTGATTGGTTGTATGGTGGAGCCCTGTGATTGGTTGCCTGATGGTGGGGGAACCAAAAGGCTGTTATGTAAAGATATAGATACATGTGGTAGTGCTTGACTAGGGCACTAACAAGTCGTGTTGACAGGTATGTATCAAGGAGTGTCGTCAAACATCACACCTGACAAATTACACCAAAGCCTCTCACTTACCTTAAGTGGCCAGTTTGTCCTATCAGTTAAAGGGTCTGCTTTTTAATCTGTATTATATGTATCATTCTTTATATATTTTTCCATTTTTAAAACATTTCTTCAGAGATAGGACTTCTGTACAGAGTTTGTAACTTTGATCTCGGGTTTTTTTGGAATTACATCACTTATAGATGGAATTGAAATAAATGTTTAATATCATGGTTTTATTTTCAGTCTCCAAAACATTTACCTGTAAATTGCCAGTTTGATAAGTTTCAGAATAATTGGATGAACATTCTTGTTCAAAAGTTTTCTTATTTTGTAGATTTTGTTGATGTCACCGTCCCCTCTATAAGGTTGTGTGTAGCCATTATTTAACTATAAGAGTTCAGCATGATTTTTCTATGTAATCAGAACCCTTCATTTTGTCATCAAGCAGTTTTCAATTTAAAGACTTGTCAAGAGAAATTTCACTTCAATGAAAAGTTATGTATTTATAGAATTTGTGTTTGATTTTGCTTTTTTTTAAATTAAATTCTTTTTTTTTGTTCTTAATCAGACAAATTAGATTCTACCGCAATTTTGTCTGATATCCTTTCAGCACCATTGTTATCACTTGCTTTTGATATGGGATCATTCATGACTTCAGAAATAAATTTGCTTATACCTGTCAAAAAAAATGGTGGAGGCTTTTTAAAAAAAAGTGGGCTTTATATCCAGACGTTTTGATATGTGGTGTACCTGCTATTGTTGAATATCTTTTTGGTTTGTTTTTTGACTACACATTGACTACACATTTTATTTTTTGCCACAGAAGTTATATTACTCAGAGACACACTCAGTATTATTTCAAATTTTCCTTTTTGCAAACTTTTTGTGTTTATACATTTTTCATCATTTCATTTCAAAAATATGTTGCCCTAGTATTGCATAATTGTATATTTTGTAGTTTTTTCCTGACAAGTCACCGGCTATATCTAAGAAACTAAAAACAAATGTCATGTGTTTGGGAATTGACCTGTTTGTACAATATTTTCAGAGAACGCCCTGTTAGACGACGGAGTAAATCAAAGTCGCGATCAAGGTCAAGAGACAGGTCGCGTCGCTCAAGGAAGAGCAGAAGTCATAGTAGACGAAAGAGCAGGAGTGGCAGTCGGCGGAGGTCAAGGAGTAAGCACAGGTCTAGGAGTAGGAGCAAGAAGAGGAGCAAACACAGCAGGAGCAGGTAGGCTTAACAGTAGGGCCAGGGTTGGCTGTAGAGGAAACAGAAACTGGTAAAGCAGGAGGAGGTAGGCTTCACAGTAGGGCAAGGGTTGGCTGTAGAGGAAACAGAAACTGGTAAACCCGGAGGAGGTAGGCTTCACAGTAGGGCCAGGGTTGGCTGTAGAGGAAATAGAAACAGGTAAAGCAGGAGCAGGTAGGCTTAACAGTAGGGCCAGGGTTGGCTCTAGAGGAAACAGAAACAGGTAAACCAGGAGCAGGTAGGCTTAACAGTAGGGCCTGGGTTGGCTGTAGAGGAAACAGAAACTGGTAAAGCAGGAGGAGGTAGGCTTCACAGTAGGGCAAGGGGTGGCAGTAGAGGAAACCAACCGGTAAAGCGGGAGCAGGTAGGCTCAACAGTATGGCAAGGGGTGGCAGTAGAGGAAACAAGCCGGTAAAGCAGGAGCAGGTTGGCTCAACAGTAGGGCAAGGGGTAGCAGTAGAGGAAACAAACGGGTAAAGCAGGAGCAGGTTGGCTCAACAGTAGGGCAAGGGGTCGCAGTAGAGGAAACAAACGGGTAAAGCAGGAGCAGGTAGGCTCAACAGGAGGGCAAGGGGCGGCAGTAGAGGAAACAAACCGGTAAAGCAGGAGGAGGGAGGCTTCACAGTAGGGCAAGGGGTGGCAGTAGAGGAAATAAACCGGTAAAGCAGGAGCAGGTAGGCTCAACAGCAGAGCAAGGGGTGGCAGTAGAGGAAACAAACCGGCAAAGCAGGAGCAGGTAGGCTCAACAGTAGGGCCAGGGGTGGCGGTAGAGGAAACAAACGGGTAAAGCAGGAGAAGGTAGGCTCAACAGTAGGGCCAGGGGTGGCAGTAGAGGAAACCAACCGGTAAAGCAGGAACAGGTAGGCTCAACAGTAGGGCAAGGGGTGGCAGGAGAGGAAACAAACCGGTAAAGCAGGAGCAGGTAGGCTCAACAGTAGGGCAAACGGTGGCAGTAGAGGAATCAAACCGGTAAAGCAGGAGCAGGTAGGCTCAACAGTAGGGCAAGGGGTGGCGGTAGAGGAAACAAACGGGTAAAGCAGGAGAAGGTAGGCTCAACAGTAGGGCAAGGGGTGGCAGTAGAGGAAACAAACCGGTAAAGTGGGAGCAGATAGGCTCAACAGTAGGGCCAGGTGTAGCAGTAGAGGAAACATAAACTGGTAAAGCAGGAGAAGGTAGGCTTAACAGTAGGGCAAGGGGTGGCAGTAGAGGAACTGGCACAGCAGGAAGAGGGATGCATATTTAACAGTTATATATTATATAAGGGCAAGGTCTACCAGAAGTGGATATGGAAACTGGCAAAGTAGGAAAAGGGAGGCTTATTAATAGTTACATGTTAAGGTCTAGCAGTAGAGGAAAGGAAACTATTGTGAGACAGTTAGTTTTCAAACCATGCAATACCACATGGCAGATGAACATGTATGAACCATGCAATACCACATGGCAGATGAACATGTATGATATTGCCTATAAGCCGAGTAGAAAGAAGGGTGTAGACTTAATGGTTACATGGCATAGAACTAGGTTTAGCATTGAGAGAAGAAACTTTCAAAACAGGAACGGTAGCTATAACTTGGAAATTATCATCAATAACTTGTTTTGAGATGTTATAGAAACAAACTTTCTTTTCCAGGTCAAGGTCAAACTCCAAGTCAAAGAGAAGGAAGAGGGATAGAAGTAGGACACCTGAGGATAAACATCGGGACAAAAAGGAGGATAGAGCGAAGGACAAACAACAGAATGATAAACAGGAAGAGGAGCCTGATAAAGCAGACACCACAGAGGGTAACAGGTCTCGATCCCACAGTCCAGAAAATGAAGCAAATGGAAGTCCTGCAAGGGAAAGGTCAAGGTCACACTCCAGAGAGGAAAGGTCACGTTCACGCAATAGAGAGGAAAGGTCAAGGTCACACTCGAGGGAAAGGTCAATATCTCCAGAAGGACGCAATGAAGACAAATCCAGATCAGTCAGCCGTAGTCCTAGAAATTCACGGTCTTTGTCAAAGAGTCCAGAGGTCAAAGGTGAGGATGAAGATAATGCAGATACCATGGAAACTGCTGAGGATGCTGATTAACCCACTCAAAGGGATCTCCATGGATAGGTAACACATGTGCAGGACTAAAGAATCTGATGGATTTTACCAACTTTGATGAGGAAAGGAAGTTTGTTCTGTTTCTGTGTTCTTTTCTGCTTTGACAACTCAAAGCAATCTCGTGTAATTGTAAGATGTGAACAATAATTTGTTTGTCTTTGAAAAAGGACATTTCAGAAGAAAAAAAACCTTTTTAAAACTGTGAAATACATTTTACATACATACTTGTTCTAACTCTACAACATAAGACTTTTGTATTACATTCATGGTTTCCAGGAATAAAATGGAACCACTGATATCAGTGTGCTACCTAATAACTTACTGACTTAAATTTACACATACCAGGTAAATGAAAGTTTGTAGCAACAAAACGGCTTACAAGCGTTAATGGATCCCCAAAAGGCGGTACCTACATTACTCTAAAAAGGAGTTGTAATCTTCTTCCTTAGAACCATAAATACCATTCTGATACCACAATGGGGAAAGTATTATTGTTGATTGTTGTGAAAATGTTACCTTACAGATATTATAATAGACACTATTTTTCAGCATACTCAGAGAAACAGAATTGAAACTCATTCTGTAGATGTTCAGACTGTAACAAATAATCAGAATTTGTTATTGAAACAAAATTCTCTCTTATTGATGAACATGAAAGATATGTTCATAGATACGGGGAAAAAACCAGTCACTACTACGCACAGTAGAGAAATCCTGAGGATGACCACACTGGACGCTGGACACAGTAATGCTATAGCAATTCCAAAGTCCACTTATAAATAGTTAAGCAGGATGTTTTTTATATATAAAAAAAAAACTAGGAATAGTGATTTGTGCTTTCTAAAAGATTGTGAAGTCCTTCTTTAAGAGAACCAGGGATAATTTTGCAACCCTGGTTTTAGAACTTGTACAAATGAAATATGCTGTTCATGTTTATTATAAAAAGTCAGGAAACATCAGATTTCCATGAATAGAGTCCGTTTTCATGGTGTTTTTTGATAACAGGCAGTGTATTTAACGTCATATGTCATCATATAGGTACAGTATCTTATTTCTTATGGCAGTGGTTAGGTACTACAATAGGAATCTGATGTTTTGTCTGTAAATCCAGATAGAAAGATGAAAAAAGATATTTCTTCTTTATTATCTAATATAGATAGAATAAACAGCTTTATTTTTGTTTTTTCTATAAAGTTTATATCAGATTCCTTCGGTACTACATACAAATGAAACATGTATTCAGAATAGTAAAACCTCAAATTCAAATTTTTTCTTGAAAAATAGTACCTATTAATCATGTAACACAAATTTTCAAAGGAAATTCATTTTTTTTATTTTTTTTTGCTGATGTTACAGACAATGGTTCTTTTATTATATAAGTATGCAGTAAAACCTGTTTCAGAAGGACACACTTGTTACAGTTCAAAGTTTTAAAGGAAGTCAAGCGCTTGTCCTATAGTAAAGGAATTGCATGGACACCAAACTTAACAAACTGGGCTAATGTATAAGATCCCCAGGTGTTTGCTTTTCAAATATTTTATTGTGTTTGTATTGCGGTTTAAGTCAATAATGTTCTGGTAGAGTATATTGTCTTTGACAGTATATTGTTCCTTTTATTCTTGATGATATTCTCTGAATGACATAATGCATTTTTGTTTTTTTAAATTGCATATTTTTGAGGTAAAAAATTCTCTCTTTTTTCTTCTTATTAAATACTGTTTAACTCATTTACCCCTGAAGACACGTTTGAACTCTTCCAATTCAGAGGTTGGAATATTTCATTATGAAACTTCAGGGGTGAATGAGTTAAATAGAAGGAAATGGTTGATTACTATTGTGCTGATACATTTGTCTCTATCATTGAAGTTCTGGGAAACAGCTCGCTATTTGTATACTGTTACGTACGTACAGGCTATGTGTCATAGCAGAAATCATGATTTTGCAACACACAGGCAAGTATTTTAAACTCTATTGGTGCAAATTAAATTGAACTTTATCTTGGAGGCAGTACGTGTTGGTCGTTGTTATATGTTGGTGTGTGGTTATGTATGCTTCGTGTCGTTAATGAAGCAGTTTTAATTGTTGGTCGTTAGTCAAATCAATACTGTAACCTGTGGAGACCATTTGTCTGTGCTATAATTTGAAACAAATATTGAGACAATTTTTTCAAATTTCATATTCATATCATATAGCAAATATTTATCAGTGTAAAGAAATCATAGCATCACAAATCATAGCATCACATTTGTTTAAATCTTCTACAAAACATTTGAAATGATGAACCGGATAACATATACATGGTACATAAATCACTTGGGATATTTTTTACCTACATGCTTATCAGAATCATTCAACATAGAGAGATTGTGTAGACTGAATCATTAAAAATTATTTGTTCATGATTTCAATTGCTTATATTCTTCAATCTGTTGATTTCTATCAAAAATGATTATTTTACAAAAATGAAGAGAGTTGAATTACTCAGTCCCTGTAACTAACACTCTTCCTCATTCTGAAACCAAACATGCAGAAATGTTATATTTAGTTCTACATTATCTGTAAATAGTCTTTTCAAATACAAATCGAATGCGTAGAGGGGTGTAATGCTTTACTGGGCTATATCCAGTGACAAAATAAGTCTTGTACTTGTATTTCAATTTCATGTAATTTCAATGTATGTAATGTTAACCATACTATTTTTAGATTTCTTCTATGACATACGTTTCCATAAAAACGCTTCATGATGATTTTCATCGTGATCGTAAGTTTAAGATCTTGCCATCTCATTTCCCAATCTATCAATAAATGTATATAAAGTGTGAGTGTAGATATGAAACTAACATTAGATACCATATTAATAATTATACGACTTTAAACAGATTTTATTTGATGTCTTTGTTGTTGTAATCCTCTTTCGGGTAAACAGGCGAACTGTACATACATCTAGTACAAATGAACTGATATTCTGCTGCATGAAAATTGATTACTGTGTTAACACAGATTTAAAACATGAAAATTAACATTAGAAGGGTTCTACTGTAGAAAACATTATTGACAAACAATCGTTCTCTAAATCAAATCATTTCTCATTACCATTATTGTATTCAGTTTTACAGAATTTGTTGCTGTTTCTTTCAATGTTGATGACAATACCATATTCCAATAAAAGACAAAGACGGAAAAAAATGTGTTCATCTTTTTATTTTTAAAAGAATTCCCCAAAATAGTTGTAAAATATTCATTTGAAATATTAAAATGAGCTTAGTGCATAAACGTGACAACAGTTCAGAGAAAATGGGCTCTTTCAACATATCGTACTCAAAAGCCAGATTTTCAGAAATGAATTTTATTTTCTCCAACTTTGCAATAAAATATTGTCTTTGTTTACAGTCGAAATGTTAAAAAGTCCATATATAGATAATTTCTTTTAAGTTGTAAATGTTTAACATACATATAGACTCTCTGCCATTTCACAATACATATATGTATGTTAAACATTTACAACTTAAAAGAAATTAAGATTAAACAAAAAGGTGGTTCAGAATTAGGATGACCATTTTAAGTGTCTCCCAAAAAACTATGTCTGATCTACTTAAATCATAGAAAAATGGAAAATTATGAAATGTCAACAAATCCAGAATTCGAACTTAAAATTGATAAAAACAAGGCCAAAATATGAACAAAAGAAATGACTCGCACGAAGACCATTTAGAGAGGTCAAAGACAATTAAGATAAGATGTTCCGGAAGGGTAAGCGTCACCTGCTCTTAATAGTAATAAGACGTCTCCAAAGCGAGAACCGGGCTAGTGACGGCGAAACAAGGTATACTGATTAGCATACTAAAAAAATATCGATCTTAAGCTTGCCCATAGTCTTCTGATCAACCTGTATCTATTGAAACGTTGTAGTATTGTCCGTCAGTAGTCGTATCGTGGAAACCACAATATTCAAAGCAAGTTCCTATATACCGAGTCAACCGACATGTAAATCCCGTGGGTTTAGAACAGGAATGTAGCTATCAGGAAAGGGAAAGTTTACGATTGAAAATCGAAATTGTTTCATTTATTATACGGCTAATTTGTTAGGAACATGTACATATTATATGAAGGCACACATATCAACATTTAAGGCATTTCGATATGCATAGTATAGATGGACACATTTAAAGAATTTGTCGTTTTCTACTGGATATAAAAAGGAATTAGAGCTTGCTATTGTGAATAAAACACACTTGACGATACGCGTGTCAGTTGTTTCACTATTAAAATATGAAGCTGTTGGCTTTGCGAAGCAATTCGATAAATTGTCTTTTGAAAAAAAAGGTACATACAAAAACAACTGAAATTTCATGGACGAAAGGATGAATTAGAATCCAACTTATACTCGAGGAAAGCTACACATGGGTTGATTTTCACTGAGTGTTCATTAAGAATGAACACGTGTCAAACCAATGTGAATAGCCCACTATCCAATTTTATTGAATTAAAGTCGTGCGCCATAGTCGCCCAGTATTGGAATGTCTAAATGATAATTCCAAGTTATCTTGGCGTTTCATTGAGTTATATGAGGTCTGATAAAGTAATGAAAATGAAAAAAAGTATTGGCGTCCTCATACAGAACCCCCCAAAAATGGTATCATATGATGCCTCTTAGTTTAAATGATGAATTTGAATGCAGTCAGTCATACAGTCACTTCTTCAAAAGCAAATATGTATACATTATCTTATAACAAATGAAAACAAAATATATTACAGCTTCAACACACGCATAATCGAATAAAAAAGGGAAGAAATTGACATGATTAAACATTGGAGATGAACCAGCTATACGGGAAGTGCACCGGTTCCTGCAACACGTTCAGCTCGATCACCATCAGTTCAACCGATACAGCAAATGTACACCATATAGACAATTCCTTTAAGTAATGAATATTTCTTTAGCAAATGTTTTTATGGTCTTATAACACACATTGCTATTGATGACAAACTTGATAAAGCCCGGTAGGTTTTTATGCAAGTTTGTCAGCAATAAACATGTGTGTTAAAGGACCATAACAATATTTACTAAAATATTCATTATTTATATTTACATTTTGATAGAGAAGTAATGCTTAATTTAGTTATTTCGAACAGTTTTTGAACAGCAAATCAAGTGTTGAACGATGCAATTTTTGATGTCAAAATAGAGATTGATGGCGTTACAATAGCAGATGTTGTTATAGTCTCATAACAACATTTGCCTTCGCAATGCATTACAATTGAAGGATGCAGAGCAAAGTAAATATATACATATACAAACTTCAAAATACGAAAACACTTTATATAAAAAATGCTGAAGATTATATATAGCTATATGCAATTATTTGCAACGAATTATTGAATTCTTTCAACATTGACATTCGAAATGCTGTTTCCTGTCAAATTCACAACAATACATGACATTTATTCAAGGTGGACTCTTCATTTATATTTTTAGAGTCATAATTCAAAACAATCATTAACCGTTTCTAAAACTGTTAGCGTTTAAAATTAAAACAGTAACCGATAATTGAAAATTACCTATTTGAGGCATGTTAAATACCCGAAAAAAAATCTCTTTTTGAGCCAAGATGTAGGTGTACTTTTGAAGAACTTGCTAATTAAAATGGATATTCTTAAATCTTTTATCTGTTTATTTAAAGATATACATATTTATACACTGATTGTCATTTTGTATTCCCGTACATTTGTGATTGAATCATTCCACAGGTTAGACAATAAAGCATAACCCCTCTGTCATACCAACAAAGTAGGGGAAGATGCTATATATACGTCTAACATGATTCATCGTGTTTAAACACTTTCAAGAACATGGTAAATGGAAATCTCTTTCAAATTAGTTTTGGGATAATTCATAATGCATCACATATTTATGCAAATTTAGTAATAAACTGATCTTATTGTCTTACCATGTAGGTTGTACAAAGAGTTAACAAACAAAACAGTAATTTTCGGATAGGGAATGAAAATGAGGGATCTCCGACAGAGCCTGCTTTACTTTCTATTCTTAATTTTAATTAATAAATTACTTTTCCGTAGAAATAGACAAGCTTTATATTTGATGATGGGTTTGTGAAACAGAATAAAAAGAAAGTTCGTAAAAAAACTCCATCGTAGAAACATTCACCACGCTTCCTTAAAACGACGTATTAATATATCGATTCTCATTGAAGAAATTACGGATTCAAAACTTTCACAAGCGGGCAGACAATAATTAAATTGATTTTGGACACTACCAGAAATATATCCAATGACTTATCTCCAGAAGCATTGACGGTTGTCGGTTCGGAGACAATGTAGAATTGTACTTTTCTGACACACCAAGGTGTACCTGGAGTCTTTCAGGTGTCCAGGTGCCTGTTTGAAGAGAAGCAATCAATGTAGAATAAAATACCGACAGGATAAATTTTTAATCTATGTTTGTGCAAATGGTACTTTGTCCCGAAAGTCACTTAAAGATTGATCATGGAGTTAATTAGAACTTATACAATCATTTATGTATAGCATAAGACGTTTATAGGCAGTAAAACATAAATTATTACACATGTGAATGGTACGGTAAAAACAAAAACGAAAATAACGGTTGTATGCTGAAAATGTGAGCTCTTTAAAAATTGTAAAGTTTGACTAATACTAAATATTTATACAGCAATATTTATGAAATATGCCAAATTAGTCTGTATGAATATAAAGAACCTAGGTTTGCAGGTGAGGGAAATTTGACAATTTACTATGAGCACCTATTTTCCTTAAGTAATATATTTACATAAATCGTTGACGATTTCAGCACATTGAGCGCTAGATATATTACTAGGGCAATAACACATTTAATATAATTATGATATTAAACAATAAGTAAAGTGGGTTATAATCGCTCACCCTTTGTCGTCTGCGTGTCTTTCCTTCTGCACTGCAAGGTAGATCCGCTTACAGATTTCCACCAGAACACCGAGCGTCACGCTGCAGCCGAGCACGATGAACACTCCCACCATATTCTCTAGTTCCAGTTCCCCTGACGTCTTCACGCCCGACTGGTCACTCTCCACGGTCGAACAGTTGGACGCAGGTTCCCACCACCTGGCGAGAAGATGAATAGACATGACTTTTGGATACACAATCAACCCTGCTCAAGTTTGGTTTTGGTTTAGTTTGTTTGTGAAGAACGTGCCAGGTTTTGGTGATGGAGGAAAACCGGTGTTCCCGAAGAAAAAACACCGACTTACGGTCAGTGCCTGGCGACTGCTCCACGTGGGACTCGAACTCGCGACCCAGTGGTGGAGGGCTAGTGGTAGCAGAATGTTAGATGCCTTAACCACTTGGCCAACGCGGCCCCTATTTACAATTAACCCTGCTTTATAGACCACCTTTAATGAAAGACTACCTTTGTTAAGATGTCACTTTTTTAACCTCGATCCCCACTGCTCATGATAAATTTACCTGCATGAAAAGTTTACTTGTATTCGGGGGTAACTTCATGCACTTTCTTCTGGTGGTCTCTGAATGTAAGTTATTTGTAGTTAACCGGTCACTAGAACATGCGGATATTTGTATCGATCAGTAAACAGTTATTAAGTTTTGTCTAACGACTTTGATGCCAAGACTGCGGACAAGTAATATGTATACCGTGTAACCTTGAGCTTACTTGCTTTTGAGAGCATCCATGACGCCGTCTTCCTTCAGTTTGAGTAGAGCCCTGTTGATGTCGTCCTTATATGGCGCTCCCTTTGGGAACCCCATGCTGAAGTGCTTCTCCCCAAACCTCTGGTCTATAGACTCCATGCCACAATATCTGAATAAGGAACATGCATTCAAGATTTACGATGGTAATGAACGATTAATTAAATTAACTTTGCTTATGTCACAGAATACTACAGAGTTTATAAATTTTATTTAATTTCCAACAATTATGAAACAAGTTTTCCAACTTATATTAATCACTCTTGTTGGCCCAGATGTTAGCGCGTGGGGGATCTAACTGTGGGAGGACACCAGAGTACCCGGAGAAAACCCATCTGATCGGACAGGTGACCCCATACCTTTTCACGTCCTATCGGGGAATCGAACCCCGGCCGCCTTGGTGAAAGGCAAGTGCACTATCCACTGCGCCACCCGACCACCCAAATACTACTGACATGCTGTTTAAACTACAAAAAGGGTCAATTCATTTATTACCTGCAAGATAAAAGAAAATATCACCTTGATGTTTTAGCATTTACATATCGCCGCTAACTGAAATAAAACTGGCTTGTGTTATTAATGAACATTGGAGAATCCATCAAGAGCCGTGCCGCTGATTTGCGAGGAAGGGGATTAGATAAGAAAATGTAAAAAATTAATGAAGGAAAGTAAATGTCTCATCGAAATCTAACGGTTCTGCTCTCTTGGAATATGTAATGACAAAATTGAAGTCGCATTTTGTGGATGATACAGTACATCAAAAGAATCGCGCGGCAGCATAACGGCAAAATTGCACTGCCTTGTAATCGGATGTCGTCCCTCTGTAAGCTTCAAAGGACATAGAGTAGTCCAGCGGTTGGTCAGCTTTTAGTATTTGAAACCAATTGGATATCTTACAGCGTGCCTTCAATTTTATAATGACATATTCCAAGAAGGAGAGAAGATACGTGCATCAAGAGCGGAACCCCCGAAGGTAGGGGAAACGGTGCGAAGGTAGGGGAAACGGAACAAAGGTAGGGGAAACGGTACAAAAGTAGGGAAACGGTGCGAAGGTAGGGGAAACGGTACAAAGGTATGGGAAACAGTGCGAAGGTATGGGAAACAGTACAAAGGTAGGGGAAACGGAACAAAGGTAGGGGAAACGGTACAAAGGTAGGGGAAACGGTGCGAAGGTAGGGGGAAACGGTACAAAGGGAGGGGAAACGGGACAAAGGTATTGGAAACGGTGCGAAGGGAGGGGCAACGGTACAAAGGTAGAGAAACGGTGCGAAGGCAGGGGAAACGGTGGGAAGGTAGGGGAAACGGTCCAAAGGTAGGGGAAACGGGACAAAGGTATTGGAAACGGTGCGAAGGCAGGGGAAACGGTGGGAAGGTAGGGGAAACGGGACAAAGGTAGGGAAACGGGGCGAAGGTATGGGAAACGGTGCGAAGGTATGGGAAACGGTACAAAGGTAGGGGAAACGGTACAAAGGTAGGGGAAACGGTGCGAAGGTATGGGAAACGGTGCGAAGGTAGGGGAAACGGTACAAAGGTATGGGAAACGGGACAAATGTATAGGAAACGGTGCGAAGGTAGGGGAAACGGTACAAAGGTATGGGAAACGGTGCGAAGGTAGGGAAACGGTGCGAAGGTAGGGGAAACGGTACAAAGGTAGAGAAACGGTGCGAAGGTAGGGGAAACGGTAATTTGTCTTTATAAAGGTTTGGTCCCGGAAATGATAATGTGTAAGTGATCACGCAGGAAAGTAGTGCAAGTATTATGGGATACATTATAATTGCATTTCTACACTACATTGACCTACTTGGAAGCGTAGTAATCATTGAACAGTCCGTCGTCTATGAAAGCGTATCCGGTCTTGAAGTCACCCGCCAGTACTTTGTTAACACCATCCATTCTGTTCGACACCAGCGACTCTTTCTCAGTTAGCTTCATCACAGTCCACATACGCTCATAAGGGTCCTCGTCCGATTGCTCGAAAAAGCTCATGAGATCGCTGTTGTTACGGACTCCATATGTGACCTGGAGGGACAGACATACATGTATATCATAAAATAAATGTGTTTTATTATCAGTATTCGATTAACTCAATTTCAATTAACCATTCACACCGACGGATGGAGTAATAGAGCATGCAGGCGGGCACCCCTCCAGCCTACTGACCACGCTCGACGTTGCTGAACTATAGTGAGCGCGTTCCAGGGTTATATCGCATCGTTGAAAAGAACGCTTGTTAGTAAGGCATTATTTCCCCCTCATATTCCTTGGCTATAACATTATCTCCCCCCCCCCTCCTAGAAGTTTCGTTCGGAAACTTGGCTTGGGGAATACCTTGGGTCATCCATGTGCACCAATGTACCTTCCCTAATCACGGGGAACTGGCTTTTTATATATGGTACACCAGTACCAATATCACAGCGGACAAGAGAAAAATAACCTGCACTTTGTGATAAAAGAATCAAATTGGTATAAACATTATATTTGAGGTATTATTCAATTTTAGATATAGAGGTATCTTAAAAAAGTCACTTCCGAATTTTTCCAAGATGGCCGCCTCACGCATTTCAACAATACCAAGGATTGACCGTGTGTACTTTTGACTTAAATTGTGAAAAAATGGATAAATGCTTATTGCATTTACATCAAAACTTGTTAGAACATGCAAAATAGCACGTAACTGCCATTAAATGTTAAGTGCGGAGGGTAACCGATTCAGCCACTTACAACGCTGAAGTAATGAATGCGTCCACGGGTTATACCGACCCACTAGCTTTACAGTAATACGGTGTTGTCCTCTCATATTTCCTTGTCTGTATCAGTTAAACAGTTGCGTTGACTATCATGGAAGGAGAGGATATTGTCTCATTCTGATATGACAGACATAGCTACCGTAAGCACACAATGGCATTAAGCTGTCATTACTTGCTAACGACTTGGGGATATTTACCAAGGATTGACTTGCAAGGCGCTGCATGGTCTTGATGCGAACGTCGATCTGCTTGAGAGTGAGAAAAGCAGCAAGGTTAGCCGTGTATGCTGCAGTAATGATCAGGGTACAGAACCAGAAGAACGCCACAATGGTCCTCATGGATGTAGTCTGAGGCGAGAACTCGGTAGCACCTGCAAAACAAATGATGAAAGCTTTATGTAAGTAAAAACTTGCACGCATAACTTTCAATACTGAAACTTGATAAGAAAATTGAAATGTTCATTTGTCGGATATTGTAATAATCTGACACAGCGTTGCAGATTTAAGGTATATGCAAGTGATTTAAATTGTTCATGCTTTCAGTAACGACACTTGAAAGAAAAATACCACTTCATGTTAATTGTTCATAAATTAGATATCGCATTAGTATTACATACAGCGATGCGAAGTCGTAAATCCAGGCATACCAACAAAAATTAAAATCACTCAGATCTGGTTACATTGTTTGCTATTTGATGCTCTGTTGTATGTTGTTTTATGAATTATGTCATCATGAATTTGTAATATTATTAACAGACAATCAAAGACGATCGAATGGAGTAATAGGAGTTTCAAATGTTTCCCATCTCCAATGAGTTCCATGTACTACCTAACGGAAAATAAATCAGCAGCATTTCTAAAATATGCATGTATATATTACCTTGTAAGATGACGTTCAGAGAATACCACATGCTCTCCTTGAGATCAAACTTCTGCTCAGCCGTTCGCTGAGTAGTGTCGTACTTCGTCATGAGGAACAGAGACAAACCCACGATCAGGAAGAAGACCACTATCATGAACCAGAGGCCTATGTCGAAGGGCCAAAGGAACTGGAAGAAGGTGGGCTGTAGAGGCGGTCTCTTCAGCAGCATGCTAACAGAAGAGGACAGGATGGTGTTGGAGAAGGAGATCCGCGCCACCCGCTTCGACTTCACTACCAGGTCACCTATCGCTATGGCGGCATCCTGGTAAATTATGATTGTCATATTATTGTTTAACAATTTATTTAGACTCTGTCCATTAAAAAATAATATTGGCATATTTCATATAAATGGACAACTGTAAAGGCCTATTCAGAATTGTAAATTCATTTATCTGATATCCTAACAATTAAAGAATACTGATGACTCGTTTGTCTTGTATACCATCGTTAGCATACTTTCTTAACTAGTTCTGAATCTTTAATCGCCGTTTCTGTATAGGACTTGCTTATCCCTTCATGTAGGGGATGTCCTCCCACGTTTTGACTTTTACTTGCCTGACCTTTAGTATGTCGAACATATCCTCCCACTGTCAGTCTTTTACTTGGTCAACTATTCGATTGTCAATTGTATCCTCAACCCTGCCCCTTTACTCTCTTCGACAATTAGTTTGTGTAGGACTGTCTTGGCTTCATTTTGTTTTGGTTTACCCTATCTTTTACCAAAAGTCACATATGTGTGTGTGTGTGTGTGTGTGTGTGTGTGTGTGTGTGTGTAACGATAATTTTTCAAGATACAAAGTGGTAGACTCTGCTAGTTGATATTTTAGTCCCGAGGTTTGCTGTAACCTTGATGGCCACAGTTATCTCTTTTGAGCAGTGGCATGGTCCATATTATACACACTTAATAGATTATGTAATTTGAAATTACCAGATACAAATAATTAAGGAATACACATCTCTATTTCAACAGCACTTAAGACTATTTGGACTTCCAACGTTTTGGACCCTAGCATCATCGATGAGTCCTAGAAGGACAAAGCAGTTGTATGATGCAGTGCGGTTCATTTTTGGTTTACTCTTATGTATTACCAAATTTTACAGGTACGATCATATGTGTGTGTGGGTGTGGGTGTGTGTGAGGTTAGGTGTGCGAGAGGTTAGATATGTAAGGATAGGTGTGTGAGGGTAGGTTTATAAGCATACTCGGTATCCAAGGGTTACGCTCACTTACGCTCTCTGTACCCATGGAATATGTCATAGCAAAATTAAAGGCTCAGTGCGCATCGCCTTGTTTCTTTAATGTACATTAAAAGAATTTCGCGGTCATGTAACGGTAAATATTGACTGACTTTGAAGTTAGGTGTCGCCCCTTTATAATCTGCAAAGGACAAGTATCAACCTAGCAATTGGTCAGGGTTGTTGTACCCGAGACCAATCAAACATCTTTGTGTCTTTAATGCTATGGCATATTCCAGGGGGCAGAGAACGTACGTGAGGGTATCCCCTGGGTATCGAGGATGGTGTGTGAGGGTCGATGTGTGAAGATAGGTGTGGAGGGTTTGTGGGTGTGGGTGCGCGTGCGTGCGTGCGTGCGTGCGTTAAGTTCGTCCTTTAACTCACCCCTGTCATTAGTTTATGTACGATGTCCTCCCACTCCTTGTCCTCATTCAGTCCAGCCCACTTGCTTCTATACTCAATTATCTTGTAATCAAATCCCATTAACCTCTTCAGAGCGTCCAGGACATCGATACAAAATCCTTCGTGCTTGCCGTTTATAACAGAGTAGAAGGGTGGATCCTACAACAATAACAAAACGTTTATAGCAAATAATACTTACACACATTTACCCGTTAATAACGACTTTCCCAGACTAAGGTCCATTATAAGTGTATCGTGCAATGGACAATTTATATTGGCATTATTTTATTTTTCGTAGTGTCCTATGCTTACCACAAAAATAAATTACAAGAACTGGATCACTATGAAAGCTGAAACGTGTCTTCGAAGTAGTCAACTTCACTTTGTATAATGTATTTTTCTATTCCTATTGAAGTATATAATAATAAACATATTTTTTGTCAATGGAGTTTATGATTAGAAAATTAGATTTATTTACAAAGTTTAGTGTGAACGTATTTGAAATAATTATGAACATATTTTTATCAAAACCTTGATTGATCAATTATTTTTTCACGTTTGAACTAGAAAATACAACTTATTTTAAATCACACCTTACCTTTTTGGTAATAACCGTGAAGTTCATACCCTTCAAACTGGTGCTTATGTCTCTAACTGTATTTTGTTGCGTCCTCTCGCCGATCGGTGTATATACAGCTTTGTCAAGGAAGGTGCAGTTCCCGACCTACAAAACGCAAAGACTATTTACAATCCCAAAACGTAGAATAGAAAAAAATATACATACGTTTATCAATAAATAGAACCTAAACTAGAGAATATCATGGACATCTCTCATACGGAGAACATACCAGGTATCCCGGTATGACGTGGAGATATGACCCCTGTGGAAAACGGACCCGGGGTCAACTAATAGATGTTTACCATGCAAAGGAAAATAACGGTAGGCAAGAAAAGACTAAATGAGAGAAGACTCATAGTCGAAAAACAACACCGAAGTAAGTCTTCGCGGTTATAACTGATGCAGTGATATCCGTAATCTTAATTCCGAATGATAATGTCTCTGCAAGTAATCAATCACATGATTGCGTTAGGCGACTAATGTGGGACAAAAACAATGAACAGAAAATAATACAGATTTGCTGTATCCGATAACAAAACTTGTGGAATATTCTTTTTCGATCTCATCGTTGTTTCTGTCACATCTTCCTGGTTTGTCGTTTGATAAATTATTTTTAGAACAATTTGACGGGCCGTAGTGGCCTTGTGGTTAAGGCGTCTGACCATCTACGATCACTAGCCCTCCACCAGTGGGTCATTGGAAGTTGACAATATACTGTCCGCAGGTCGGTGGCTTTTCTCCAGGAACTCTGGCTTTCCTCCATCACCAAACCTGGCACGTCCTTAAAAGACCATTGCTGTTAATATGACGTAAAACACAAACATGCCAAACCTAGCATTCTGACAAGATGAGTTGTCCCAAGTTCGTTCTTGAGCAGCCCTATCACAAATAGCCACCGTCTTCATACAACCTTATAGTTATTAGGAAGACGTTAAACTGTATACACACAACCCAATAAAACACTGAGACGATTTGTTGACGTGTCTTGTAATTGAACAAGATGGTAGAAGAAAGCCTAATTTGTTGTACCTAGAAATCCATCCTTATATTACTGATTTAGTTGATAATTGGTTGTGTGTATACAGATTAACGTCTTCCTAATACCTATAAGGTTGTACGAAGACGTAAAACTGTATACACACAACCAATTATCAACTAAATCAGTAACATAAGGATGGATTTCTAGGTACAACAAATAGGGCTTTCTTCTACCATCTTTTTCAATTACAAGACACGTCAACAAATCGTCGCAGTGTTTTATTGTGTCGAAATATTTGCTCCACTCTAAGTAGTCTCACTGATTGTCAGCGTTAGATTTTGGTTTGGTTTTATATTGTTAAACGTCCAATTTACAGCTAAGGTCATTTGAGGACATGCCTCCATGTGTGTTGTGTAAGTGTACATGTATGTGTGTGTGCCAGAGACAGGGTATGTTGGCGTACTTGCCTCCTACTGATAGCGCGGATCTGATACCGACTTAATAGTGCTATCTCACTGAAATACCATACCGAAGGCACCCAGCATAGCATTCCGCCCGGTCACATTAAACTGACAACGGGTGAACCAGTTGTTGCCATTACCCCAAATGCTGAACGTCAAGCAGAGAATAACAACTACCATTTTCAAGGACTTTGGTATGTCCCGGCCTGGGGACAGAACCCATTGCCTTTCCAGGGCCAATGTTCAACATTAAAGCCAAAAGTGAGGTGTTTCCAGTGGCGTAGCATACATGTGTGCTTGTATGCTCAAGCAAACACTTTTTTCAAGATTCTTTTAATCATATATTTTTATTTATTATTTTTTATGATAATATGGACCGTCCGTATCAGTAATTAAAAAAGGAAAAAAATCAAAAACAATCCTGAACATTTTAGTCTAATAAAATAGTCCATACACATTGAAAAATCTTAAAGGTTTATGTAGAATTCTTTATCAAAAACTACACAGTTAAGTACAAAATTTCACGTTATTCATTTAAAAAGTCTAATTATCAGATTTCCCAGAATACGAGAGATTGCATCTAGGGCCTAGTAGAATTATCCTTTTTTTCCAGCTATGACCTCCCATACCATACCCCTCCTCCGGCGATAGCTAGAAATAGAAAGAAGTAGAGAGATCCCAATTATTGCAATGGTTGCAGCAGATTTATTTTGGTCGCTTTTGTATCGCCTCTTACGATACTTGCAATGGGTAACAGCAGGTGTATTCTTTTCTCGATCACCGACCCGCAGGGGTTTAGGCATATTTGTTTACAATATAGATCTGGAACACACCTATCGTGTTGGGTTTATGTGGTTTGTTGAGTTTAGCGTCCTATAACAGCTTACACTTATTTAAGGAATTGTCTCCATGTAAGTAATATATGCATGTGCGATAAGCGGATCTGATGCCGACTTCAGAGTGCTACCTCACTGAAATATCAGGTCAACTGTAAATACACTACATCATCCCTGAATTAGTCAGATGTCATCACATTTTCTAACAAAATCACATCTTACCTTTATATTATCCTTGATAGTTGCATTGTTGATGAATTGTAGCACGGCCATGGAGTAGCTTGTACGTTTCCGACTTTGTTTGTCCTCGGTCACACCCCATATGTACTGCCCGAGGGCACCTATATAGGTATCGGACTAAAAACTCGGACAAATTATAACTACACATTTAATAATAAATTCGTCTCCGTAATCTACATATAGTTACGCATGCATTGTATTTTTTATAGCAAGTCGACTTAACATTAACTCAAAAGAAAAATGGATACCACTAAAACAATTAAAAACTTCTTGACATATTTTACATCAAATTTTATTGGAAATTACATACATTTTATACAAATCGAGATACCTCTTTTAAAACGTGTTTAATATATCATACTCATTTCAGAAAAAAACACCTTCCTCTTATTGAGATCAAGAAGATTTCATTTAACATATGAGGTATTTCAAAACGAATAAAAATGAATTTAAAATTAATCAAAATGTAATCAATTTAAGTCTCTTTGAAAAAATAGGAATGTATTGTAAATTTATAGAAATACCTTAATAAAAATACATTAAAAAGAAATATGCATAAGATAAATAGGGATATCTCTCAAATTGATAGCTATATATAATTCAATTTTAGAATGTTTGGTTGTATGCGAATGTAATTTTGAGCAAGAATGGTTTCGTGAATAATGGTCCTGGTCATTTTCTTACTCTTTTCAGATATCTCAGTATTAATCTTTCCTTACTTTATTCCGTCTTTTCGTATTGCAGAGTTATCTGCTCTTGTGAGCAGGTATTGATTGTTACGTCATTTGTTTGTGAGAGTAACGTCATCAATTTTGGAGAAACCGACGTAATTTTCTCACACAAACCAATGACGTAACATTCAATACCTGCTTACAAGAGAAGATAACTCTGCAATACGCAAAGACGGAATACTTTGCCCTAATTTGATCGATTTTGAGTCCGGATCACAGTTTGGTTGGCATTTAGGTATTCTATTGTTGGTGTTCCCCGAGTGCACACAATGAGTTACCTTATCGGAAAAGGCTTCGTTCAGCATCTTTTGATTCATTGTTTGGTTTTTTAATGGCTGACTGTCACAGTAGGAATTACTCTGTCCCCGGCGCAGACAGTGTCGTAGTATGGAGACGACGTCCACTAGTAGTCCCAGACTGAGACGGGACTGGTTCTGGAACCGTTCTACAGGAGAAATAGTCAGTATTACACTGGGTGTAGTTGTATATAACACGTCGTTAGCTCAAGCTTTAGCGAGATCAACCGTGATGATCTAAGCACCGTCAGCACAAGCAACACATCATTTAACGGCAGTCAAATGTTGAAAACATGCACTTTCGGATTTGACGAAATTTTGTGTTCAGTTTTTGCATTTAAATAAGATTTCATTCCTTCAAAAACATTTATTGTACTGCATGTATATTCATCTTAACTAGCATAATTCATTGATTAAAACAATCAAATAATGAAAAATGAAATCAATGACACATATTCAGGTCAGCTACATCGATTTTCAAGTCATCTGCAAACAATGAATCGTTTAATATTGTTTGCTATGATTGTTTAGTTTTAAAATTCAAAAAATATTCCAGAACAAAATATATAATGAAACTGAAATGAAAAAAATAGTGTATTTACATTGTCCCGGTAATCTTTGACTATTTTAGATTGTTGCAAAATTTGACCAATGATAAGTTCGCTTCTATTACATATATATATAGTAGAAACATTTTATTTGATCTATTTGTTAGCGAATCATTTAATAAAAAAACATAACTATATAAGTACAGCAAGATATGTAACAAACATAACCACACAACTTACAAGCATATAGTTAACAATGTGTTTTGTCTTTCCTCATCCTCGATATCCAGGGGTTACGCTTACTTACGCTCTCTACACCCCTGGAATATGTCATAGCAAAATTGAAGGCTCGGTGTGCGCCACCTTGTTGATGAGACAAGAAGACTAATTCGATCCTTTGATATACATCAAAAGAATCTCGCGGTCACGTAACGGTACACATTGACGGGCTTTGAAGTCGGGCGTCTCTCCTTTGTTATCTTCACCGGACATGTTTCAGCCTAGCGATTGGTCAGGTTATTTTTGTTCCTGAGACCAATCCAACAGCTATCTTCGTGCCTTCAATTTTGCCATGACATATTCCAGGGGTGTAGAGAGCGTCAGTAAGCGTAACCCCTGGATATCGATTATGGTTTTTCCTGTAGATCCTACCTTCTTGAAACAGACTTGGCGGAATAGCTTCAACGTTCAACAGCTGTAGCCCATACAACGATACCGTCTCCTTTAAGTTCAATGTCAGATCGGAAAAGTCCTAACAAACAACATTTTCAAATATTACATACACTTGATTAAGGATACGGATTTTTCAATGCTTTTGATTTTACTTTACATATTGTATCTTGTTCTGTAGTAAAGATATTTCCTTTTTTATGTAAAATGATACATAGAGTTAAATTGGCTAAAACATGAATACTAGAAAAAGATATTTTGAAATGTAGCACAGGACTGATGTATTTTGACTTGTGGCACAGGACTGATGTATTGGAAATGACGTTAGAGTGTTGCGTATCGTACGGAATACCATACAAATGATGCCACCTTCGTTCCAAACAAAAGTGGCTGGGTTGTGAGATGACCTGATTGACTCATTCACCCCTGAAGACACATTTAATAGCTAACTGCGTGCCTTCAATTTTGCTATGACATATTTCAGGGGTGCAGAGAGCGAAAGTGAGCGTAACCCCGGGAGTAGTGAGAATGAAGAAACATCAACCTGAAAATCAACAAGATGAACGAAAAGCTAGTGGACTGAAACCATTAAAAGAACCAGAAAGCACACTGTGCAATTACATCTGATGGAATGGGGTGACGGGAAATCCGAGAAAAGTGGGTGGAGAAACGTAGAATAATTATAATGGAGAAATACTTCCATATGACTTGTGTACACCAAACAAGAGCATCACCTAGGTAGTGTAAGCCTATGCAGCTAATCTATTATCACATTTTCATTATTCAATATTTATAACTTTTTCAAAGAGTGTATGTTATTTGTTTTATTGTTTGTTTCCTTTATTAGAGCAATACTGATCATAACGTTTTTATCAAATCTAAACTGTTTCTGAGGTATATCATGTGACTCATATTTGTGAAAGAAGTATTCTTTCTACTGATGAATGTTAAAACACGACGTCACGTGCAGAAGCCACGTGGGTATGGTTCCATAATATTGGCTGACTTTGAAGACGCCATATTTGCGATAGCTTCAACCTAACAGGACAATCACTCTTTGACATACTGTTGTTTTTTACTCGGGGGATATAATCAAACAAAACATTGTCTCTACACCGTCCAACAAATACAAACATAGCTTTCGATTATCTCTGACAAATGTCACAGAGTTCTGGCCGTTACTAATAGCCTATCATTATCACGACCATTTGGTGCATTCTCGTCCCCCTGGTAGCTTACACAATTGTCAACGTCCGATATACATTGAAACACATATTTATACAAAATAGTCATGTTTTATAAATTAATAACAAATACCAATGCTAAGTTATTATTGTCCGATTCTGTAGCATAGTGTGAATGCCCTACATACCTATTATATCAATATGAGAAATGATTGCAATTGGTTATAAATGCGCACAATGACCTAAATGTTATCCTATTAATCATTCACCTTTTTCAACCTTTTAATAAGAGATTAACCGTTGTGTACTTTGATAATAAAACTGTATATTCTATATCAATATTTCTTATTTTGAAGGTGCCGTCACCTGTGTGAGTGTTACGTCACTCTTTCAAGATACAAAGTGGTATCCTTTGCTGGTGGATGTTTTCCTCTTCGAAGTGTGCCTTAACATTGGTGGCCACAGTAGTCTCTTTTGAGTAGTGGCATGGTTCATAATAAACACATTTTACTAAATATTCAATTTGGAATGAATCAGTACTTCTCTAGATTTTGAAATTCATAAATATAGGGTTTTACGCTTCCCCCCTTCAGTTTCAACAGTAGTTTAGACTATTGTGATTTCCAACATTTTGGCCTCTAGCATCACCGATGAGCCCTATAAGGATGAAACAGCTGTATGATGCAGTGTAATTTAGTTTTGACATACTGTATCTATTAACAAAGTTTAAAGATGTTATCACCTGTGTGTGTCAAATGTTTCTGATCGTGAGCGTGATCGAAATATTTAACTGGTTTTCCCTATTTCTATATCATATTATTTTATGATTAATATCGATCGCATAATCAGTAAACAATGTCAAAAACCTATTAGCGAGATGAAGCGAATGAGGCCTTGACATATATGTCTACAAATGTCATTCTTAATTCTTCCAATTTATGCACATTTTCTTTCTTTATTTTTTTGAAGAAAATATGCAATTAAATAACGTATGAATGGTATAGCAATACAGATATTAACGGATATATTTTGATACAGTTCCGAGAGCAGTGTAGAATATCACAATTTATCCATGCTTGCCTAGTACATGATTAACCAGCTCCGAAAATAGAGCAAGAGAAATAAATTCAACGTATCAACACACAAAGGCGAAATTGAAACTTCAAGAGGAAACGAAACGAAAAGACAAAAACCGAGAAGACATTAAAACGAAACGAAATTATTATGAACACTCACAAAAACAAGATTTTCGTCGGCATATATTGAACCTTCTCCTGAAGTTAATAACTGTTTGTGTCTTATCGAGTCAGTAGGATATGGTAAGATATGATGTTTAGGCTCTCTGGTAGCAAATCAACAGAAGTTGGCGTGTTACTGTTAAAGAAAGGGAAGTTATCATAATAATTACGTTCAAAAAGGAGTAGAAGATGGCAATATATATGATATACTTACCAGGTAGGTAATGAACCAACTTCGAGAGTAGTGTAGAAGGTGATGTTCCTCTGCCTATATAACAGAAGATGGTCCGAATTTATTGTATATATTTATGTTTTTCCGTATAAATGACAATCAAAGGCAGTAGTCTTAATGGAAGCATTGTGATGTAAACATTCAGGTTCCTCGCGTAAATGATAGTCAGACAATGGTCGTCATGTAATGATTCATGTTTTTGCAATATACAAGTTTTGATGCATTTATTTGTATAAAAATAAATCAGTTTCAATCATTCATCTGTACATTATGTGAACCTTAACCGAACTTTAAAAAATAACAATAATAATAAGTCACTGTTAAGTTGATTTTTAATCAAATATAACATGTAACTAATATTTTAAGGATCACTGTATTAAGTGTAATATTTGTTGCGTTGACTACCCACCGCTATACAATGTGTGACAACGACCCCCAAATCTGTGACGATGGACGCAATGTTGAGTTATGCTCAATCATTTATCGTATTGATCAGAGTAATCCCTTATGGTTTCAGCAACATGCAACGTCTGTCCAATTTTTTATAATTCGGTTAGTAGTTATTTCCCCGCGGAGCTCGTGCTGGAGATATATAGCCTGTTTTATATACGTTTCAACGCATGTGGCCTTTGTATAGCTTGGCACTCCGTCCAACATGCTTATTGTTTATTGCATCTAAATAGATTGCTTGTCTCAATACATAAACAACCTATATATTCTATCTTTAATGTCATATTTAAAAAAAAAAGGCAAAACGCGTTTGTTTAAACTAACATTTCCCCTCGTTTTTGTGTGTATTCATTTTAATTAAGGCTCTGTTATAAATCCTGCCTAACTATTTTATTTATATTATAACGATTTACTTAACTTGATAGCTCGTTATGTTAGGTTGACCGAACTGTAGCTTCAGTTGCCTTGTTGGTACTGGTGTACTGACAATACACTACTACAACTGCGACAGTAGCTGACGGTGTGGTATTGATCACTATAAGGTAATGTGTAAATGGTTGATATGCCTTAAACAAAAACTAGAATCCATCTGTTAAAATCTCCGGCATTCTAACTGTTAATATCTGCGTACTATTCTAGCATATTGGTTCTAGTTTTCTTCTATTTGTCTAAATAAATATACAATTTATTACTATTTTTATTTATTATTATTTATTCTGAATACACATTCTGTATGCGTGTATGTGTGTGTGTATGAATGTCTGAAACGTATGTTCTCCATTCTGGTAAAGGATATAATAGACGATGCCTGTGCCTAATCAAATTGTATTTAAATGCAAGAAAATTCACCTGAAATGAATTGACATGAAATTATAACGTAGACCAGAATACCAATTATAACGTACAGGTATGGGTTGCTATTGTAAAATTACACATCATAATACTATCACAATATACCAAGGAGCGTATTCTCATCAATTACATATCAACCTCAGTACTGTGGCGTACACATTCTAGTGCTGATAGTTATTGAAAATCGAGCTGATTTTAAGCAAAGTACAGCTAACTTATTTCGGAGGCAAGTTCGAAACAAATACAAACTCATATATACATACCGGCTAATTTTGTGATTTTTGGTAAAAACAATCTCATTCGTTTCATGCTCTCATAAAACAAGTTCGTAGAAAATAGAGAGAAGAAATGTAACAGAACCATTTGATTGTGTCACGCTGAATCTTTCTTTTCAACCAATTTTATCTTTTTAGCTATGTGACAGTAATGTGAAAAGTGAAGAATCCCGCATGTATAAANACCTTATTTAATAGACGAACAATAGTGGTCCGATCGCTTTGACCGTTTAAACGCAAACGGCCCAGGTGTTACTATAATTTGCACTACGATATTGAATACCCGATACGCAAAACGGAAATGACGACACGGTGTACATGCACATTTCGATCAAGATAATTGAGTCCGAGCTGTACTTTTTCCGGAAGTACGTCACGAAAATGGACGCTGATGACGATGTGTCGAGCCACCTTAAACGTCATTACTATATTCAATTAAATGTCAAGGTCATTTTCCTATCTCTCAAACGTAACTTTCATTTGTATTTAATGGTGTTTGTACCAATCACGAAAAAAAAACAATGTTTAAACAAGCATTAGAGTCCCGCAGCAAAAAAGTACAATGGCGTATTTGTTTTACCGATGCGATGACGTGCTGCACGACCTCCTTGTCCATGGAGTGCAGAATGAAGTGTCGCATCTGTGCCTCGCGAAGTTGGGTCATAGTCTGTCTCAGTTCCTGGTCGTGCCCACCTTTTATGTTGGACGGCAGCAGAATGGGCCAAGCAAATATGTCTCTGTTCCCGAGGGCCAACACGGGTGAAAAGTCATCTAAGACACACCAATCAATGATCATATAAGCTACATTAAATTCTATGCACATCCAATTGTAAGATGATGGAAATAAACATCTTTTCATCATTCCACTGGTTTGCTTTTTAATCTATAAAGTCCGAGACAATGTTGCTACTAAACCTAACGTGTTAATTATTTCATAACACAGTTACATTTTATTACCTCATCAAAAGAAAGTACTGATTTGGAAGAATTCGGCGAACGACGGTTGAAATGAAAACTTCACTACTTAAGTTAGGTATATATTGTCTTTGATGAAGATATTTTATATTTCCTAAATGTGTACAAAAATTTAATATCAAACATACCTTGTGACAAAAAGGCGACTTTGTTCCAGCCCAAGGTTTGCACAATCTCGGCGACAGCACTGGATAGTGATTTTGTGTCAGGAAGCACTGGAAGGGCTCTTTCAGATTTCTCCTGACCTTCACTTGATGACGTCACTAAATGAATCTGTTGTTTGATGACGTAGTCCATGGAGGTAAATACGTCGATGAAGGGTCCAACAGCGATAACATTTTCAGGATTTTTGAATACTGCCAAAGCTATAAAACCACGTAAAAACAATAACTATAGTAATTTCACATAAACTATAGGTTTGCTGCGATTTCAAATATTAAATTTAGCGGGACATTCCATTTGTGCCGATACAGAACTAGCGATCTACTTATTGGAATGTGACGTTCCGCCAAAACAAATCAGTTCGTTGGAAACGTCTCATTTGAGGGAACCAAGTTGGACCTGATATGGCGGCAAATGAAAATTTTCATTTCAGACGTTCACCAAATTGGTTATTGGTCTGCGTACAACAAGTCAACCTGCATTGAATTTGTCCAAAATGGTATAACCGACTCTAATTAAGTGTCGTCATAAAGTGTAAATCTATTTAATGAGGGCAGTATACACAATGTTCGACTATATCTTTCTTTACGCCGGAGCCTTTGATGTTTATTGCGGGGAAGTCGTACCTTCATCCTATTAGATGATCAGAGTTGCACGTGCTGAAACGTTATTTGGAGCAATGTTACTTTTCAGACCAAATCCGAGTTAGCACAACTTGAATGCTCCGCTAAATGGAATGCACTAGAAATTTCTAGTGAAAATAGTTGTTGTGAGGCTTGGTAAGCTTTGGGAAACATATACCTAGTAATTGTAATTCTTGATTCTATTAACAATTTTTGAGAGCAGTCCTGATGTGTAGTTAATGTACATGTCAATCGATTTTGGTTCATGGATAACTTAATTCGTTTTAGACGCTGGAATGTAATGGTTGACTCACCTCACTCCATGCAACTTCGATAAACGGTTGAGTCACCTCGCTCCAGACTTTAATAAACGGTTGACTCACCTCGCTCCAGACTTTGATGAACGGTTGACTCACCTTGCTCCAGACTTTGATAAACGGTTGACTCACGTTGCTCCAGACTGTGATAAACGGTTGACTCACCTCGCTCCAGACTTTAATAAACGGTTGGATCACCTCGCTCCAGATTTCGATAAACGATTGATTCATCTCGGTCCAGACTTTGATAAACGTCTTACTCACATCGCTCCAGACTTTGATAAACGTCGTACTCACCTCGCTCCAGACTTTGATAAAGGGTTGACTCACCTTGCTCCAAACTTTAATAAACGGTTGACTCACCTCGGTCCAGACTTTGATAAAGGGTTGACTCACCTTGCTCCAAACTTTAATAAACGGTTGACTCACCACGCTCCAGACTTTAATAAACGGTTGCCTCACCTCGCTCCTGACTTTGATGAACGGTTGACTCACCTTGATCCAGACTTTGATAAACGGTTGACTCACGTTGCTCCAGACTGTGATAAACGGTTGACTCACGTTGCTCCTGACTGTGATAAACGGTTGACTCACCTCGATCCAAACTTTTATAAATGGTTGACTCCCCTTGCTCCAGACTTTAATAAACGGTTGCCTCACCTCGCTCCAGACTTTAATAAGCGGTTGACTCTCCTCGCTCCAGACTTTAATAAGCGGTTGACTCTCCTCGCTCCAGACTTTAATAAGCGGTTGACTCTCCTCGCTCCAGACTTTAATAAGCGGTTGACTCTCCTCGCTCCAGACTTTAATAAGCGGTTGACTCTCCTCGCTCCAGACTTTAATAAGCGGTTGACTCGCCTCGCTCCAGACTTTAATAAACGATTGACTCACCTCGCTCCAGACTTTCCTAAACGGTTGGCTCACCTCGCTCCAGATTTCGATAAACGATTGATTCATCTCGGTCCAGACTTTGATAAACGTCTTACTCACCTCGCTCCAGGCTTTTATAAACGTCTTACTCACCTCGCTCCAGACTTTGATAAACGGTTGAACCGTTACTGTTATCGTATTCCACAGGTGAGAATCTTATCCTGCAGTAATCGTTATGTCCCAACTGGAGCACCTCCTCTACCTTCTGGTAGTCATCTATCATCGATTCGCCCTTCCTACTTAACACAGCTGTAAGAAAACAACAAAAAGAACTATATGATGTGTACGGGCGATTTCAAAATAATAAAAACTTCCATAACACCGACGACAATTTAAAACACTAAATTGTGAAGTCATTCTATGATGTTTTAAGGTGACGCCATGAAGCGATTCTAATTGTTGTCAAAATGCTTTTTGAATCACTTCAAAAACGTTGGCGCCATTTAATGATTATTTAAAGTGACGCCATCTTGTGACGTTTCCAAAGGACTCCATGTTAGCTCAAGAACAAGAATAACCATCGCGATTCTAATATTTTTTAAGTGACTTTTACATCCTATACATGATTGGGTTGACGAATTTGTAAACGAATTTTAATCTCATGTTATCTTTAATAAAATTAAATAGCAAAGATTTGCAGCAGCTGTAAAAGAATAGCAGATACACATACTATTGACAAAACCAAGCAGATCGACAAAAAGGCAGAAACGCTTCGTTTTTTTAAATTTTCATATTTTTGACGATTTGGAAGTTTTAAAAGAAATTTTCGGATCATGAGAAAAAGCATTGAGTTTAAATGTGCCAAAAGATCTCATTAAGCTCGCTCCATTTAGGAAAGGTCGTAAAGTAAGTGATGCTAATAGCTATCGCTCTGTAATATGGAATTCAACGTCATAATGAATATTATATTGTTTACTTTAACTTTATTTTCCCCCATAAAAATACCGAAAGGTGTTGTTTCCTTTTCAGAAATGATTTATAAAAGTCATTTGTCATGCCAGAAGAATAGTTTCTAATGCATAGTTTCATTTTTTGCAGTGGCAGGTGGATTCTGAAATCGGTAGTTGAGTCACGCTTGATAATTATCCACGGCTTTAAGCCATACATTCCATAATGACAGAACTACATGTTGACACACACGGCGACAAGGGATTTGGTCTTGGTTGTTTATAGCGTATTAATACTTTTCAATTTGAAAGCAAATCTATTGCAGAAATTGCCTGTTCCATTTGAATCACGTCTAAGGCCACAACCATGCCATATGGCATTCACACGCTGGTCGGTCTCCGTGATTGTTCAGTCTTTAACTTCCACGCACAGTTTTACCATGTAATGGCGTAGATTTATGATTAAATGGATTACGATATCCAATTTCTGGATTGCGGTTTTGTCTAACTGTTAGAAATCATGAACACATACTTTGTTTGGCAAGAGAAAATTACACAGTGCTTCTAAGTGAAACTCTATTTTGAGTCAACAGACAAGTGAATGGATGGAAGCAAATTAATGTCGTCCCGTATTTGTTGTATTTTGAATTGAGAAATTGATACTTAATCAACAACAGCAAAATGGCATTAACAGAATGAACGCAATATCGGAAAACAAACGAAACGAATCACCCTACATAAACACGTCAGGCAGAAGGTTTTTTTTTCCGGCTAAGTTTAGGTAGTGTATATTATAACGAGCGAACATTATGAAAGCGACATTCAACCTACTACTGAAATAAACCATTAAGTTATTCTTTAAAGGGACACGGTCTTCGATCCATGAGCAGATTGTACATCTCTTGCCAACAAAAATATGACAAGGAATAATGTATGGCGACATTGCAATAAGAAAATATCGAATCTATTGTGACGTCACTTTTGGCAAATTGCTTGTTATTATCACATTAAACCGTGATCTCTCATTGGTCAGTATGATAATAAAATAATAAAACTGTCAAAGTAGAAAAATTCAACTTTAATTTTACCATAACACCTTATATTTCATGTGTATGATTACAAAAATAAAAACTCTCAAATTATGCTGTCAACATTTTCACGAGTCATATGAAGGTCCTGTTGGTGTGGTGGGTTGTGATATGGTATTTTGAACAAGATGACGCCGGCGATATGGCACAACCGTGCTGCCTTAGTGTTACCGTGACGACCGTTGAGGCCAGAACGTGCGCTAATGTAAGAACAAATCAAACAATGGAATTTCGATATCATGTCTGTGATCACTTCAGTTTGACACTGGCGCTTTATGTGATTGTTTTCATCTTTATTATCTATCGTTTGGCTTGATAAAGTAGCAACTGCATTATAACTGACATAACAGAAGCACTCCTGAATGTTGAGGTCAAGTGAATGAATCCACTACAATATAATAGTAATTTGTAATGTTATTGCAGTAATTTTGAAATGGAAGAAAAACATTGGCTAAGGACCGCAAATAACAAATCAGGGACCATCTCAAACAACAAATTAGTGGTGAAACGGAAACGCAGGGATCGTTTCAAACTGTCTTTGTCAGTAGGCAATGATATTTTTGGGTCATCTCTAACTATATATCAGTAGTCTAAAGTTACACTTAGTGATAATATCAAAATACAAATCCGTAAATGCTCGAACAAAAACTCGGGGATAAACATATCAGTATCAAAATAATAACTCAAGATTGGTTTTAAACAGTCAAATCTGATGGAATCCACCTGTAAATATTCGATCAAGTCATTGGGGAAGTGATGTACGGTCTTTCGCTGTACATGTAACAGTCGTGACACTGTGTACCTTCCTGGATTCGCCCGGATTTTCTTGACTGGTACCACGCTTTCTTTCCAAAACACGTGGTTTTGTTTAGTTCTTTAGGCCGGGGTTCATGATTATTTCCTTTTGTTAAGAGTGTCCTTGCTGTTGTTTAGGTATTTCCCTGGTTCCTGGGAGAAGGCCTAGTAAGTGGTAATATTCAGTATCAATAAAATATGTTTGGTGTTTCCTTGCTGTTGTATCGGCATCTGCCTGTTTCCTTATATGTTGATGTTTTTTCCTGGTTCTCGTTGTTAATGTATCTCCCATATTCGTGTTGTTTTAGTGTCTCCCATTAAGTATTGTTTTAGATTCTCCCCTGTGTCTATTGTTTTAGAGGCATATTTTTCATGCTTTGGTTTGGGTTGGTTGTGTTACGTCCTATTAACAACTATTGTTACATAAGGACGTGCCAGGTTTTTGTGGTGGAGGAAAACCGGAGTTCCCGGAGAAACACCACCGATCTGCGGCCAGTAACTGGCGACTGCCACACGTAGGTCTCGAACCCGCGACCCAATGGTGGAGGGCTAGTGATAACAGAATGTCCGACGCTTTAACCACTTGGCAACCGCGGCCCTTCAATTTTTCATGCATTTCTTTTATAATTAGATAGGTACAGAAGTTATAACAGTAAACAAGATGAGCAGAAGACAATATGAACCTTCATGAAAAGTTAATGCGATATCCCGAAGGTTTACCAATTCCTGTACCAAATACAGCAAACACTATGCTTGTCCCTACCCTGTGATATACTGGTTCCTATTCCAATTTAGTCGATCTAAGTGGTATGCTGGTTCTCACCTAGTGGTATGCTGATTCTGACTAAGTCATATTCTGTTTCTGATATAGTGGTAAGAGGTTTCTGTGTAGTGATAGTCTGGTTCTGACAAAGTGGTAAGATAGTTTTGGCAAAGTGGTATGCTGGTTCACACCTAGTGGTATGCTGATTCTGACTAAGTCATATTCTGTTTCTGATATAGTGATAAGATGTTTCTGTGTAGTGATAGTCTGGTTCTGACAAAGTGGTAAGATAGTTTTGGCAAAGTGGTATGCTGGTTCTCACCTAGTGGTATGCTGATTCTGACTAAGTCATATTCTGTTTCTGATATAGTGGTAAGATGGTTTCTGTGTAGTAGTATATTGGTTCTGACCTAGTGGTATGCTGATTCTGACTTAATGATATTCTGGTTCTGACATAGTGGTAAGATGGTTTCGGTATAGTGGTATGTTGGTTCTAACCTATTGGCATTGCTCCACTGTCAGCAATAAATATGATTTTATTTATGAGGCGGGTATGTATATTAATAAGTGATGGGCATCAATGTTGGTCGTCCCGCGATATCCACGTCCCAGCAGTGGGATCAATGAAAGGTAACGCCAGCTGTTTACAATGAACTAGCAGTGAAATTACAAAATTTGACATGAGTTATAGAATCATTTAAATGGTTACACACATGCCCAGTCTGGTAAGAGGAAACTGCTACGGTTTGATAAACAAACCGCGATTCGAAGTATTTGGTTACCGTGTATAAAAGTATCATTTTCAACTAGGATTAATTTGATAAATGTTCATTAAATTTCTGACATTTATGTCATTTATGTAAATTAGTTTGGTTTTTTAAAGTACATGAGCCTAGTTTTATGAAAGCATTCTCTATGTGTCCTTACTGATTTGTCAAATAGCGACGCTATTGTGAATAACCATAGAAAAGCTACCGAGACAACATAATTCTCTATGCGTCCTTACTGCTTTATCAAATAGCGACTAAACACAGAAAACTCAACAAGTTAACAATATTCTGTATGTGTAATTCTTACTGCTTTGTCACATAGCGACTTAACACAGAAAACTCAATAAGTTAACAATATTCTCTATGTGTCCATACTGCTTTGTCAAATAGCGAGTAAACACAGAAAACTCAATAAGTTAACAATATTCTCTATGTGTCCATACTGCTTTGTCAAATAGCGAGTAAACACAGAAAACTCAATAAGTTAACAATATTCTCTATGTGTCCATACTGCTTTGTCAAATAGCGAGTAAACACAGAAAACTCAACATGTTAACAATATTCTCTATGTGTCCTTACTAATTTGTCACATAGCGACTAAACACAGAAAACTCAACATGTTAACAATATTCTCTATGTGTCCTTACTAATTTGTCACATAGCGACTAAACACAGAAAACTCAACGAAACAACAATATTCTGTATGTGTAATTCTTACTGCTTTGTCACATAGCGACTTAACACAGAAAACCCAACAAGTTAAGAATATTCTCTATGTGTCCTTACTGATTTGTCAAATAGCGACGCTATTGTGAATACCCATAGAAAAGCTACCGAGACAACATAATTCTCTATGCGTCCTTACTGCTTTATCAAATAGCGACTAAACACAGAAAACTCAACAAGTTAACAATATTCTCTATGTGTCCATACTGCTTTGTCAAAT